CCTCCCCGGCACCGCCGGTCCCACCCCGGCAGCGCCGTCCCTCCCCGGCACCGCCGGTCCCTCCCCGGCAGCGCCGGTCCCTCCCCGGCACCGCCGGTCCCACCCCGGCACCGCCGCCCCTCCCCGGCAGCGCCGTCCCCCCCCGGCCGCCCCGGCCGCCCGGCGCTGCGCGGCGCCCCGCCCCTTCCCGCGGGCGCCATGGCGGGCGCGGCCGTGCTGCGCGTGCGGCGGAAGCGCGGCGGCCCCGAGCCGGCCGAGGCGCTGCTCCTGGCCTGCAAGCGGCGCCGGGCCGAGCCCGTGCAGAACAACCTCTTCAAGCTGGTGGCGACCGTGTCCTCCAAGGTACCGGGGCGGGCTGGGCCGGGCGGTGCTGCTGGAGGGGTTTGGAGAGCAGCGGCTCTGTCTGGCTGCTCCTCGCGGGTGGATGCGGGGTCCGGGGAGCAGCCCGGCCCCGGGCAGCGCCGTCCGGTGCCGGTAACCGCGGGCACGGCGCGGGCAGGGCAGGAGCAGGGTACGGGCCCCGGGACGCGCTGCGCGCAGCACCCGCTTTTCTGCCCTTGGAGACTGCTCCTCACTTGGAAATTGCAGAACAGGCAATAAGTGAAGCTTGAATTTCTTTTGTGTGAGATGCTTGAAGGTCAGCTCTACAAGGATAACAACCACCATCCGCCATCCAGCCTTTTGTGTTGAATAAGACTGGTCCGTCTTGGGAAATGGTCTTCTTACTATAAAGTAAAGGCTATCATCCCTAAATTTTGGTCTGTTGCAGTCTTCCAAAAGCATGTTTTTGTTTTGAGAGTATTGTGTACCACGAAGTTGTTTGAAAATCAAATTGAAACAGTCTTAGGCCTTCTGTTCTACATCTTCTGCTTTCCTCCCCTCATAACAAGAAAATTGTTATGTTGCTTAAAGCAATAGTAGAAGTTACTTGAACGTTGTTAGGATTATTGGTACTGCAGTTCTTCATCCCTTCTAGGAAGGAGTATGACTTGCTATGTCGATGTTATCATTATATTCCCGCTCTGTTTTGTTCCTTTCCCCCAGCACGAACCAGTTCAGAAGTATGTCAAAGATGCCATCACTCGAGACAAAGCGGCTCAAAGCCTGCGCCCCTCTCTGGGAAGCACCCAGCGAATCCTTCGGGAGCTGCGTTGCGCCAAGCAGGCGGACAGGAAGGAGAAGCGGTACCGGGTGATATCCAGCCACCGGCCCGGCTGCCCCGGCACAGCTGCACCTGCTGCCCACGGCCAGGCTGCGCCCCGCGGGGACAGCCCGGAGCAGGATGCTGCCCCGGAGGAGAGTGGCACTGTCCATAACAGTTCAGACTGCTGCGGGGAATTCCAGCTGTTTGATATTGTACAAGAAGAGGAGATGGTGGGAGATCCCAGTGTAACCACTGCAAACCCACAGGTCAGCTATGAATTTGGTGTACTTGAAGTACTTTGGTATGGCTGTTGAGTGGTACGTGTGGGCAGACTGCTGTGGGAGTTTTCTTGCACTGTAAGTATTCCACTATTTAATAGGAGCCAGATTACAAGATTGCAAGCGAAGGATCCTAAGTGCACTAATGTTCAAACAGACAGTGTGCGGAGGTGCTGCTTAAGGAAGGGCTTGTACCACCCTTTTTTCTTTGCCCTGGTCTGATGTGTAAGTTCTCTCTCTATCTGAAAACTGTTGGCTGTAAATAAGACTTTGCATACTTTAGTGAAAATACTAATTTTTTCTTTTTTTTCATCAGAAGACTGATCCAGATGCAATTCTCTGCAATGCAGTAGAGATGATCCGTGAGCGTTTAAATGTTTCTGAAGATGGTAAAAAAGAACATGGTCACAAAGAAGATGAGTATGTTTATGACATCTACTATAAGGAAACATCAGCCCTTGATTGGATTGAAAATATCCTTTCTGTACAGCCCTATAGAGAAGAATATGAATGGGTAAGGGTGTGGAAATACCAATCTTTCTCAACTAGAAAGATCACAAATAAAAGATGTTTAAAGTCCTGCTCTTAAAAGGTGCCATGCCAAGAAAGGTGCTTTGAGATAGACACTACATGTATGCTCAGTCACTTCTGTGTTAGGCCTTTTGAAACTGCCAGTCCTACATTCCTGCAGGTTACTGTTGATCCCAGGATATCATATGACAAAATGGAAGGGATGTTGCTCGTGTAATAAGAAGAATCTGTCTGGTTTCAAACTGACAAATTTAGCAACATGAAACTTGAGTACTTTATGTCTTGCTTGCAATTAGGAGGCAGCCATGAAAATGTCATTGTAAATATGACTGAATGAAAAGAAGAGCAAGGGGGAACACACACAATTTTTACAGTATTTGAGGACTTGACTATAATCTCAGATATTTTTTCATAATAAATTGTTCTTCAGTGACTGTGGAGTTAGGAATTTTAATGTACGCTTCAGTCTTGTGTTGTATAGTTCCTGTGATCAACAGACTTGTATATTGGGAGCCTGAAACTACTTTCTCTCTTCCTTGATCTATTACACTACTACTGACATGAGTAGGATTCAACTAGACAATAACATTGAAATGCTGGAGTGGAACATATACATGTGTGACTTCACTGATTTTTCACCTAAAGCAGAAGTGTTTGAAGTGTTACAGTGAATGTAGTGACAACTTAAAATCTTCTGTAGTGTGTCACTGCAGAATTCCTTCTGCTTGCCATCAATAAGTATTTCCTAGCTCTTTCTCATCTGTACAGTATTGCACAGGTGGATGAAAACCCACTTAACATTCACTACAAACACAGACACTCAGCGTTATGTTTTTTGTTGACATGCAGGTAAACGATGATCCTGGCCCAGAGGAAGTATATGAAGATGAAGATGATGAAAATGATGAAAATAACTGGCGTAATGATTATCCTGAAGAAGATGAATTCTTACCTGAGGAAGATGGAGAAAAAGGTACACCTGTCATAAATGCTGTTTGTTTTGCTGCTGTGCATGTATACATCCCCTCTTTTTTACATGCTATCCCTAAAAAAAGCAACTTAACTGAGCACTGCTGGGGTAGCATTCTGCTCTTACAGTGGTGAAATGTGTGTAGAGGAGGATTATCTTTCTTCGAACTAGAAGAGAAATTAGTGGTTTTGAAAAGACAAAATTGAGAAGTCAAATTGAGGCTGCTGGAATTGCAAAGGTTTGCTTGCTTAGACTTGGGTCCACATATTTGTTAAACACTGCCTCTGCCTTCTGAAGTCCCTACCCCAGAGTACTTCAAGCACAATTCAAACCTGAGGTCATACAGAAGTTGTTCAGACTTTGTTAGTTTCTCAAGAAGCTTAAACTAGTCTGATTCACTTAATTTTTTAAGTAAAAATAAGGGATAATCTAGAGGTGCTGATGCTTTCTCTACAGACTCTGAAGAGAGTTTCAGTGATGAGGACCAATGTTACAGGAGAAGAACATGGAACAAATATCGACAGGAAGTTTTGCAGGAATTTGGATATGATGAGACTGAAGATTTGAGTTCTGACTAACAGCCTGGTTTTGGAGATGAAATGCATACTGAAGGTGAACATTTGCTGGTGTAGGAGAATGTACTATCTGAGCAGCCAGTTTCAGCTGGTGGCTATTAAACAGATGGGTGTGACTATGGCCACTTGACAACACAAATTTTTCTTCCAAGCATAAGATGCTCTATGCTTTAAAATAGAATTTTCCACCCATTGCATGTGTTGAGGTTTTGAAGGGATCTTTTATTTATTTTTGTTTTCCCAAAGTTGCATGCCCAAGAGTTTGTACCTGTAGCAAATGTACAGACATGGAGGAATTGTTGGCAGCAGCCCTTCTGGTCATGACTAATACATCAGGTTTCACAAAAAGATCGTTTTGTCTGCCCTGATGGCAAGTGGAAGTTCTGGAAGGCATCCTATCCTACTGCTTTCTACTTCATCTGTTCCTGAGTGTCAAGTGACTTTCTTCACAAGTGTTTGAGCAAATGAAATACCTTGACCTGTCCATTGCTCTCCCCAGTAGTTTTACTGTTGGAGTAGAACAATGTGCATTTAAATTGTAAATAAATTTTTTTTTAATCAAGTTTTCTTTACTCATTTAAAGATCACAGAAGCTGGTACAGCTGAACCCAGGTCACCAGTTTAACCTTATTTGTACATCTTAAACAATTCCACAATTCCACTGTACTTGTTTGGACACAAAGTATTTCAGCACTCTCCTACTTGAGTCTGTAAAAATAGCTGATAGAATTAGCTCTTCGCTGGTCAGTGTCATTCATTGAACTGGAAGCTACAGCAGTACTTAGGCCAATCAGTCTTGCCTGGTAATGGCAAAGTAGTGGAGGCAAGGTAGTTTTGTTTGCTTCAGGGGAAAGTTAACATGGCAGTGCAAAAATCAAAATATCCCGACTATTATTCAGGTCACTGATGCAACTGTGGTGCACCCTTTAAAGTGTGTATTCAACCATAATCTTGTAATTGTGCTTCAACCATAATCTTGTAATTACAAGATTTAGTTCAGCTTAAATGCACAAAACCAAATGTGGCCAAACTCAGGTCAACTGAGACAGACATTCTGAACTAAGGTAAAAATCTCAGGTATGTTTTTGAAGTACATCTCACTTTGCCAGAAAAGCAGTCTGGCTTCTTGTTGCTTTTTGCTAAATCAAAATTCAGTCTCAAAGCTGTCCTGATTTTAGGCTTACAGTTTTGGAATTACATAGACTAGCACCTTTTACTTCTGTTTTTATTTCTAGTTCTTTCCCCTGCTACTTAGTTGTCAAAATCAAGTATCTGCCACAGAAATTCTGCTATAGAAGGAAAAGTGGTTTCTGGGAGGTTTTAGATGGTCACTTTCTAGTGAACAGCACTGAAATTTATAAAGGGAATTTTCTGATTGCTGAGGTAACTCAGCTACTGTGTCTTCACTGAAAAAGTTCACAAACAAATGTTTACAGGCTTCAAACTGAACATTTTAATTTTGGAATTTTCATAAAACCTAGCAGAAATTCAGAAAGTACTAACAAGTTAACAAGAAAAAAAAAATCAACAATCATTAATCAATTCTTCAGTGGCAAGATGCTTACCTGATTAAATCTTGCCACAGTCAGATACATTTCCATGTAGCATACAGAATAAAATCTTTAAGGGAAAAAGGTCGGTTCAGTCTATAAATAATGGAGCAGAACTTAATTTTTCATTAGGGGCAGAAAAACAAATGAAGTAGCTTGTTGTGACCAGTTTTCTTCTGGGAAAAGAACTGAGTACAGCAAATAATTTCATGCAAACATCCATCAGAATTAAGCTGGAAATGACTTAGTCTTTGAAGTTGAATGGGTTTTAGTCTAACGTAATAATACATTACTTCACCATGTGTTTCTGCAGAAATCTAATTTGATCCATTAGCTCTTACCATTTTCATACCGATTCTGAAGAAGAAACAGCATTGACACACAGACTGTGTGAATTTGTAATCACTATCCAATGAAAACCTGCCCTGAAAACATGCCACAGTCTAGGAGGATGACACAAGGGCATGATTCCAACGTTGGAATCCATCTGCAATTAAGAACATTTTCAGCATTTCTGAAAGACCACCGAAAACAGTTTTTTTGTGTCTTCCAGTTCCAGCTTTTTCCTTTCATTTGTATAACTGCTCCCTCCTGCTTCTTGTAATGGCTTTAAACTTTATTTTGATTTGATTTCTGGTTTCTTTTCTTCATTTGGGTCCATCTCTGTTAAAACACAGTAACAGAGCATCTGCATGTTTCGTGTGATTGCACCTGCAGAGAAATTTGCAATAGATTAGAACAATAGCCACCTATCTCAACTCTAATTACAAAATACATCTGACTAATGAAAGCTGTCAGGAATGCTGTCTCACTTCCTTTTAGGGAAACAAACAATAAAAGCTAGTACAATAACTGTGTCCCATTCATTTTTAACAGAATCTTGCACTATTCTGTTGATATCCTAGGGTGTTCTGCTTCTTACGCACCCTGCCAAGTAGCTGAAGTAAAATCTTTTTTCTCTATAATGAAGAGCGCAAAATTGGTGGAATAAAGAAAGTAAAACTAATAGCACACAGGGAAAGCTACAAGATTACTGAGTATTTACATAGGTTCTACTAAGCAGCACCACATCCTGCTTTCAGGGTAAGGTTATGCTATAAACCTTCCTTACCACATCATGGCTGTCTCATATAGTATCAATAACAAATGTGCACCAATGAAGAAAAGCTGAAATTTGTGTTATTTAACTGCTGCAACTCAACAGAAGGCAAAATTCCATTCTTTACTGACATAAAATCTGTTTTCAAATACCGGATTCAGTAAAGCTGGACAGTTCGTGCTACCAAGAATGTACACACATTTTACAGTCATCAATCTTGGATCAAATACTTTTTTCTGATGTTTTGGCTATTGCTGAACAGTGTTTGCACAGTATCAAGGCTTCTTTTCTTTCCTCTTACTCAGCTCTTCCTGCAGCCAGCAGCATGGGAGAGGGTAGGAAGTCTGGCAGGAAGATGGCCAGAACAGCTCACCCAAACTATGCAAAGGGCTATTTCATGCTATCTGGTGTCATGCTCAGCAATAGAAACAGGTTGAGCAAGAAGTGTTTGCCTGTGGGAATGTTTTCCCATGCAACTTGCTGCTGCTTGGAGACTGGCTGCACACTGGGCAGTCTGTGAGATGAGAGACTGACTGGTCTTGCAGCAGCAGGGTTTTTCCCCCTCTTCACTTACTAAACTTTCTTTGACTTGACCAGCAGGTCTTCCCACTTTTGTTCTTCCTGTTCTGTCCCTCGTGCTGCTGGGGGTGCTGGTGAGCCAGCCCTGGATACTCAGCTGAGTCAGCCCACCACAACCTTTTCCATCAACAGACCGAGAGTCACCTACTTACTTTTCTTATTTCCTAACAACATCTCCAGCTAACAAAGAAACTTACCCATAATCTTGTTAATAAATTGAGGTCTCCTTGATGCAGGTAAATAGACTCCCAAGAAAAAGAATGGAATTCCAGATAAAGCAATGGCAATTCCAATCACTGAATTTATAAAGTCACTATAGAGTGGCACTACCACCAGAAATACTGTGCATATACAGAATATTATTGGAAAAGCCAGACTCAGCTGCAGACAGAAAAAAGACAACACAATGTTAATGAAATATTCACTGTCTATTGTTGCAAACATTATGATATATGTTTCTCTCTGCAACCCCTTTGTGATTCTCTGTTCTTCCTCTCATGTATCTGGCTATTTAGGACCATAAACAAATCGCAAAATTATTCTTAATGGAACTGTTGCTAAAAATTGCAAAAGTAATCATGTATGGTAACTGCTGTGCTGAAAGAAAGTGCAGAGTGGCATGAAGTGTTTTTAGACAAAACCAGTAAAACTTGGGAAACAAGGATTACTGACTTTTTTCAGTAGAGTGTCAAAGTATGAGGTTATTCAAGGATCAGATACTATCAGAGCTAAAGGTGATCCACACAGTTATTAACTTGATAATTTCTAATCAGATATTGCACTGATAGATAAAAGGCTAACTACTATGTTAGGCTATTGAGACATTCTCCAGTGGGCAGACAGAAGAGGTACTTATTGAACCAGATTATAATAAAGTATACTGACACAGCAATCTCTTGCTCTTACCTAGCAGACAAGCTAACTTTCATGGTACAACATCAAATGGAAACCATGTTTTATGTTCTGATCAGTCTGTAACCTTTAGACTTAACATCTATGGTCCAGATTTTAGACAGTACTTCTATATTATATGGAAGTTAGGGATTTTAAATAATTGTGTAATAAGTATTACCTTAAGAGGTCTTGGTCGATCTGGTTCTTTCCAACGTAGATATAACTGCCCAGCAATAGACAGACCAACAAAAAACCAGTAACTGAAGCTGAAGTAATTTATCAGCTTGAAGACATCTTCTACAGCCAGGTAAATAAGGGTCATAAAACACTGTTAGAAAATAACAAGAGTAAGAATCTAAACCCAAAAGTTTGAAACAAATGTTTATCCTGATTTTTGCCTTTAAATAACACCTTATACTCCTTAGTGTCTGGTGTAATTTTATGCCTCAAAAAATTACTTTCTCAGCAATCACGTTGATGATAAGCATATTTTATCTCTTGGTAATTTTTTTTTCATTTTCCGTTCAATAATTCACATTCTTGTTCTGAAAAAGTTGTCTTAATTCATTAACTGGATCATAATAAATAACATTCTGCTTCAGGGGACTGGGTTTCTCAGAGATGCATTTAGATGCAATAAGGATCTGAGAGAAGCACTTTAGGTTCTAGGAATAATTTAGTCTTGAGCAGCAGAAATCTTTTCTATACAATATTTCAATTATTAGTTGCAGTTTCAATTGACTGAAAATGCAATTGTCTATTGTAATCCATGGTATACAGAACACATTTCTAATGGCATGGCCTTCTGCTAAACTGATGTTCTGATTTCAGCATGGAATAGAATACATACATGGACTAGTTTTTTTATACTTTTTTCATGTTTTTATACATATATATTTGTGTACAATTTTCTAGCCCTGTGTTGAAGCTCCATTTTGAGGGAAGCTGTGCTGTGTGTCCCATCTAATTAAGTTGAAAAGAAAAGCAATAACTTGCATTGAAGAGCAGTGCTGGCACAGGTGTGAACCTCTTTATGTGGATCATAGACAACAGATCAGGAAGGTGACCTTCCCGAGATCCTACAAAAAATAACCTGAAAAAAGCAGTAAAACGCATATTGAGACCACAGGCAAGAGAGAATATATTATAGAAAATCAAAGAATAACACCAGTCAAAATAAATATATACAACACTGAATTTCTGTTCTTTAAACTGGAACCTTCTTATAAAGATGTACCATACAACAACCATTGAAAGGCAGGCAAGCTTTTAGAAACATGCTGGTAACAACCATTTTTTTTAAAAATCATCCTACAGGTAAAATAGGCAATATCTACAGTAACTGAAATAAATTTCTATTGTTTCACAAATTCTAAAAGTTAGCAATTAAAACATTCCAGCTTATGGAAGAACAGCTTTCAATGTCAATCAGAAGAGATTGCCAGGTCTCTAAAATTATGTCACTCAACCACATGCTCAAAAAACACACACAATTTTATTCCCAACTATTCTATACTGACTACTTCACCAAATGATTATATTGCTTCTCAATAGAGGCATTGCAAATTCAATGGACTGGAAGTATATTAAAATGCCCAAATAAATATTTTTCAAACTTTTGCTAGTTACATCCACAATCATTGCTCAAAGAAAAGGTTCTACACAGTATCTATCCTCAGCTTTCTGATTGCAGCTTCATAGCAGTATCAAGTTTTTTAGGGTTTTTCTAAGCACAAAGTTTTAAAATACTGATTTTAAAAGGTCAGTAAGTTTTACATAAATACATTTGAAAACAAAAACTTGCTAGAATTATTCTATCAAGCAAAATGGAAGGTAATGCAAACAATCAGAAGGCCTGAGGACTCACCACACAGACAAAATTCATTTGATATTACAATTTTTCTCCCCAAGAATGCTTTGGGGAAACAAGGCAGTGTTAAGGGTGCATGTACAGACACACAGACACACAAAGAGGTTTATTCAGATCTGTGATTTTATTGTGGTTATTCATTATAGGTTCAGTTAAAAAAGTATTTTTGCCTCTCTCATAATAGATCAGCATAACAGTAACATGTTAAAGATTTATAAACATTTGTCAAACTGAAAGAGATATGCTCTACCTTGATGATGCTAGAATTGAAGCATTAAGTCCACCAAAACAAGAAAAGGCTACAGCAATGGGAATTGTCCAGCTGAAGATACCAAATATCCTGTCAGCAAATGTCTGATGAAAGGGAAAAGAAAAGGAAACATGAAAACATCTGCAAAAAAAAGAATATGTAAAACAATGACATCACAGCTTTTGTAACACACTTGTATGGAAAAACAGTAACATAGTAAGGACAGTCCATACTGCACACAAAGAATCACACAGCTGTCTTATTTATTTATGGATTTTAAATAAGCACAAACTTCTTTAGCCAAGCATTTGAAGTCGTATTTTCTGCTCTCAAAGGAAAAGAAAATGTTTTGAGAATTTTCTTCCCAATCCTAGTATGTTTTATTATCTAACTGACCTACAGAACACAAGTGAACATTCTTTGGATTACTAAAAATATTATCTAACCAAACAGGGAAGTGCCATATTGCAGTGAATAACCATTGCCAACATCACAGCTACTCTTTATAGATTCTATTCAAGGAATCTACTTTAATTTCCTTTTTATGGATTTCCTAAGCAATATCTTTTCCTTTAGCTCCACTGGCAGGGCCTGTGGACTCTACTCTCACAACCTGGCAAATAACAGAGCAAGTGATCTTATCACTTGCTCAATACTTGATGTTGCCAGAGACAATACTGCAAGAAACTGTGATGACTGTCCATGGCAGAGCTCTGAAACCAAGAAGTCAGGAGCATCGAAGTTTCACAGGAAGTGGTAAGAGCCACTGACTGCCAGCAGTCTTGGCTCTAAAACAAAAATGGGTAATAATTTGCAATATACTGTCCTGGTCTATTCTGTTCAGCCTCCTTGATGAAGAAAAAAGGGAGAGATACTTAAAGTATCAGACAACACATTTGAAACAGAAGAAATTTAATTAATGCAGACTGACAGGCATTCCACCACCTATCTTGGTCTGAGCATTGTACATATCTGGACATTAGCATAAAGTTAGGCAGACACTGTGTTCAGAGGACATGGGTGGAAGCCTTCCTACCCATCCCAAGTTTACCTCACATGACTAAATCACTTCTGTGATTTCTCTTACAGAAGCAAACTAAGTCATAGCAGCAAAAGAATCATATCTACATTAGACAGCATGAAGTCACTATTTAAGGAAACAGAAAGGTACATACTCATGTATAAGTAGTATTCAAACAAAGATTTGAACATTTCTTAGCAAGTAGCAGTAATCTAAACCTTTTATGATCCTTTCTCTAAATCACTTTCCCATCTCTCTCTTGCTTTATACATTTCAAGGCCTTCAGACATAAAAAGCATAGGCAGTAATTCAACTTTCTGCAGGTCTGTGTATTATAAAAAAATTTCTTCAGTTTTTAGTATTTTAACATTTTTAAACACCTTGCCCTTGACTTCCCCTTCAATGCACTGGTCTTCATCATAACATTTATGAGCTAAGGAGCTCAATCAAAAATGATAAACACTCAGAACTGGCCTTTATCTGTACCATATGAAGTTATCTCTATTTAATAGTGGTCAAATTTTGATTTAATTACTGCAGGAACAAGATCATCAATAGCAGTGCACTACAAGCTGTTTTCTTAATGTTTTTGTAGGTAAAAGCCTAAAAGACTTAATATAGTTGATTTGGGGTTTGTTTTTTTTTTTTGTTACATGAGTGCTTGATTTTCATGAGACAAAAACTTATAAATGTTGTCAATCTTTAAGCCACAAGATGCTGAGAAATTCACTGACATAAACCAAGGCTTAGCCAGTTATAGTTTCCTGTTCTTTGTCTTCATGGAAAAAATGCTTTGTCCAGCACATTATCCAGGTTATGGGTCAGAATCCATCTCTGTTTTGCTCCATCATTAACACTAAAAAGCAGGATATATTCCATCCTTTTGTGCAATTTAAATGAGCTTCAGACAGGATTTCCTGCTGCTAAAGTACAATGTAAAACCACATAATCACTTCAAGGGAAGTTTGCCTAAAGGCTCAGAGTCAATGCATCAACTGTGTCACCCAGGTTCTCAGAAAGGCTCCTCTCTTCCTGAGCTATTTTAGTCTATACATCTTAGCACAGCTTCCCTCAAAATGGAGCTTCAACATGGGTGGAAAAATGCATGCAGATTCCTACAGATATTATAAAAAATAACATAAGAAAAGTATAAGAACTAGTCCATGTATGTATTCTATTTCATGCTGAAATCAGAACATCAACTTAGCAAAAGACCATGCCATTAGAAATGTGTTCTGTTTACCATGGATTATATTTTCAGCCAACTGAAACTGCAACTAGTAATTTACATTATTGTATAGAAAAGATTTCTGCTGCACAAGACTAAATAATTCCTAGAACCCGAAGTGCTTCTCTCAGATCCCTATTGCATCTAAATGCAGCTCCCCCTGAAACAGAATGTAATTTATTATGATCCAGTCAATGAATTAAGACAATTCCTCCAGAACAAGAATGAGGACAAGATGAAAATTCTAGTAAGCAATTGTTGTAATATTCTAAAGGAATATTTAAACCTGAACTGCTGATTTCTTAAGCCAAACAAAGTGAAATTACCAGACAAAAAACTCCTGGAGGATTTTTTGTTTTAATATATAAAGTTAAGATACAGACCAAGATGTTAGAGAATTAAGATGTTTAGTAAAATTGCCTAAAGGATAAGCATTTAGATAAGTAATATTAACATCTAAAGCTAAAGAAGAGAGAAAAAACCTATTAATGTAATTTTATGCTGAAGAATGCAAATTAGCTAATATATCATTTGGATAAATTTCTTCCCCCCAAAGATGTTCTTTGCAAACGTTTTCTATTTCCTTTTGAAACATCTGGTAATGGGCCAGTGTGAATGACAGGTGCAGGACTAACTCAAAGGCTATTTCCATCCTGTAATGCATATCCAGTTGTTCTAGGAGATGCTAATACTGTTCCACACATCTTGGAAAACAACAATCATTCATATGAACAGTAAAACCCACAAATTATATACAGACCAAAATGCTACAGGTACAATGTATTCTGGATGCAGGCTATGTTCTATATCAACATCAACTGCTGATCAGCTCAAAGCCTAAATAAGTGATTTCCCTAGAGCTGCACAAGTCAGACTCTTCAAGAAAGAGAGTAATGGGGTGACAGCCTCTACCAAACACTGTCATTTCCAATGTACTTTCTAGCTGTAGTTGGGATTCCTCACAGAGCAAAGGGTGGAGAAACTTCAAGAGCTAAACCTGAGGTGAAGCAATACAAAAGGCTATTTTAATTGAGAATCATCTAAAAAAAGTTCAGCTTGGTTTGCCAAGTAGATCTATCTGCCTGCAAAATGATCTTTCAGCAAAACAAAGTTGAAAGGCACCTGAAGTTTGCCTAATCTATCTATTGATATTAACCATCTTAACATGAACATAAAGACCCACCTGCTTTCAGGCAGGTGTTTTGTGACAGTGTTTCACCTTAATTTATAAAAAAAATCAGCCAAGTTCATTATTACTACTCAGACACTTGAGTACAAATTTATAAATCTTTCAATACCCTCCTTTCAACAGATGCCAAGAAATGTCTTCTTTAAAGCTCAGCTACAGTCTCTTGTGAACAAAGACAAACCCAAAGACCTCCACAGTGTTTCTTGCTAAAAGAGTTGCTGAAGTCTAAGTAAAAGCAGCCACAAGAAACATTCACTGCATGCATATCAGAGGATTATTTTGCATGAGAAGGCAGGGTAGAGAAAAGTACAACATGAAATCAAGTTATCAAGCACGCACTCTGAGTGCACTGCACCAAGAAGGGAAAGGGGGAGGGAAAAGTAGAAGAGTTAGTGGTTGCTTTCTGCTAAAACCACAATTGTACAATCATGGATCCTCCACAAATGAGCCAGACCTGGGCTTTGAGCTGAGCTCCTCACTAATTCTACTTGAACTACCACTACTTCTGGGAGCTGTGAAGTGCATTTATAAAAACAAATGGGCTGACAATGGAGGAGAAAATAGAGCATTCACAAAGATATGTGGAGGATGACAGAGGAGCCTACCTGGAGGCAGCTATAAGCAGAAACATTTAGTCCACCATAACAGGAGAAAGCCACCACTATGGGAATGGATATCATCTCAGGATTCTTCTGAGAAAGTCTAAAGAGCAAGAAGGATTAAGAGATTAAATTGTCATCTCTGCTATAGTCTGACAAATCCTGTAGTCCAGACTTGAATTATAATTGCCTCTAACAGCTTGGAAACAGAGAATCAGAGAAGTGCTGATGTAACACTTGCAATTACAGATACATTTCTTTTATGCCCTCCCATCCATTGAATAGGTAAGCTATATACATAGTTACACGCACACTGTAGGACATGCAGCTGGAATTGTTCCCTTTAGTTTTGATTTTTTTTATTCAAACCAACATCAGGGAATAATCATGAAGAAATAGGCTTTCCAGCCATGTGCTTGTCAGCTTAACTGCACTTATTTAATCATAACTAAAATGTCACCTTACTCCCAGAAGGATGGTCAAAAACTGAATTAGAGCTTTGTTTCAAGGCATGAATGACTGAATAAACTACATTTTATTTTTGTCTTGGGTTAGTTTGATCTCATGGTCATCAGCTATTAAGTTATGAATGGTTTGCAAGAACACTTTTTTGTCCTTTTAAAGGTCCAAACAACAGTTCTATACAAACAGGCTGAACTAAAAGCAGCAGAAATTCCAGCATCAAGAGCTGCCACAACAAAATACACAGGATACTGCCTCACACTCAGTAATTCAGGCACACAGATGAGTAGCAAGACCCACATTCATATTGCAAATCACAAGATGAGAAATGTTTCACCACATTTAGCTGCACATTGGACATGTACTTGAAGGCACACAAGAAATGTCAAGACTACACTGAGAGCATATGGAGCCACAAGCACATGTGAGGCTGGCAAAGCACCACACAGTATTGATTGGAGGGACAAATGAAGAAATAGAAAGAGAATGTAGCCTAACATGAAAAAGCAATGTATACCAAAAAAAATCCCAAGAATTATGAGGTGTTTCTATTAGGAAAGTTTAAAAGGCATCTACAGAGCCTCTTCATGTAACTCATTTCAAGATCCTACTGCCCAGAAGCTTTTCCAGACCAAGTGCTATTAACATTCTTACATGAAAATCATACAGAGCAGTAATGGGATATATATGCATATATGTATATATGTATATGAATGATCTGACTGGTATATTTTGGAAACACAATTAATTCTGCTTTAACATGTCTCTTGAGGTGAAGTATAAATACATTCACACATTACAGGAAGATCTGGCAGTCAGAACTGCAGCATGTTTTCTTAATTTTGAGCTTCTGAGGACTCTGAGGTGCTACTGCCTAACAGAAACAAACTCTTGATTTATGGCAATCAGGAAGTTTCACATGCCAAAAAACAAGCACCAGAGCAGAAGTTTTTTCCCACTGCCATAGATTACATTGTCAGGATACTGTATGACATCTCTCCCAACTGACCAAATTAGATTTAATGCCACATATATTAAAAGAAAGAAAGAGTGCCCATCAATCAAACCCAGAAAATTGTAAAGGTGCAAAATGTGTCTCTTGTAATTCTCATTTCAATTACCATTATGTTGATTAATTCTACTCAAACAGACATAATTATCTTGTATTACTGGCAACACCTTTACAGGGAGAAAAAAGTACCAATGCAGTAAGAAGTCCAGCATAAAATTTCCACTTCATTTTTAGGTCACCAAATACAATTCTATGGCAAGAGAACCAGCACTACTCTGCTGCATTAATACACTGCATTCCTACTTGCATGTAAGATGTCTCTTCTGTACAGCCCACATCAAAATTTCCCATGTCAGCTCCAATAGTAAAATAGTTCAATTTATATTTTCATGGAGGTGCTGAAGATATTTGATCTAAGCCTTCTTAGGTGTTTATCCTCTTCTTAGCATCTCTAATAGCTAGCTGTAGAACAAGGGTTCAGTGTTTCCCAAGTCTCTTACCCATCTCATACTGAAAATATAATATAGCACTCTCAAGTTTAACTCAGCTTTTCAGCTTGGACTCCAAAGCCAGAGAACTTCCTTGTAGCTGCCATTGGGAGTGTTGCACTCGCAGTGAATTACAGCTAGCTCCAAGAAAGAAGGCAAATAACTTACTGACCTCACCCTCTAAAAGCAACTGCCTGCCCCTAATGAAGAGTTCTTCAGTTTTAAGGTATGGAATGTGCTCTTCATCCCAAGAAACCTTACTGGGAAGTGCCTGTGCAAGCAAAGAAGATGAACATGACACTGATGGCTAAGGACAAGCAGATTTTCCTTTTCAGAAAAGAAGCTAGTGAAGCCAATGAAGAAAGAGAAGTAATACCAAAAGTCTAAAAGAACTTAAACACTTCTGTCTGAATTCAGTTAGAAAAAAAGATTCTCAACATTTATTAAACTACACCAAATAAAAATAAAACAGCTAAAACACACAGCCTCCCACATTCCAGTTCATTGAGGAAGCATGGCAAAGCAAAGCAAGCCTGCTCTAGAATACAAGAGCACCAGAGTGAACTGATGGATCTACACTGGACTCACAGGATGATATTCAAAGATGCAACTAAGTCATCCTCTTTATCCCCTGTTTGCTGACAAAGTTGTACAGCTCCAAGAAAGATTACAGCTGGTTATGCATGAAAACCAACTGTTTGCTTCAACCAGTTTTAGCTCTTCCAAGTAAAAGAAGTAAGCTGCCAAGTATCCCCTATTGTAGGAACTCAATCAAGACCCACAGACATGACCAAACACAGGAAGCAGGTACCAAGCTGTGCACTGTATGTTTCCTGTCAGGAGACAAAACAGCCCAGAAAGTACTTGTGGAGCCAGCTGCCATTCTCACAGACAGAAAAACACAACAGTAGTCTCAAACAACATAAAAAAAGGTTATTCAGTAACAGTTAAAGATGAGATAAAATGTCTGCTCTTCTTTATTTGTGTTTGCGCTACAGAGTAATTTTCATTTGCATAAAACTTAATAGCAAAGGTTGTGATGGTTTCCATAAGAAGGTAAAACAGCAGTCAACTATGAAACTCTGACAGGAATCATTGAAAAAGTGAGTTTGACATGATCAGTAACTATCTGAAGAGCATTTGCAGAACTTTTAAGCTCATTGTTGCTGTATCACTTAAATTACTTCAACAAAAATCTTTAAAAATCAGTTTCTTAGCCCCAACACTGGGACTACATCACATGAAGCCAATTGTGTTGTAAAAGGAGGATGTTTTATCACTTCTTTTCCCATATAATCCCTTGGTATGATTTCTTTTGCCTCACAGCCACCAAGAAAAACAGCCCACAATGTGATCTGGAAAGATACATTCATATTTCTTTTACTCAGAATTTTTTGTCCTTCTGAAACCGGAATAAGCTTCACCCCTTTACAGTTCAAAGCCTCTTCACTTTATAGGAGAAAACCACTTCTTCCCAAAATAGCAACAAGAAGGCTCAAATGTAACTGCTGCTTGATTGCTCCAGAGACTCTAAAATGCAGTAATATTACAACCACATTTCTTTAAAAATTCATCTATGTAATTTTCAGCCTACAGCAACTTTCACCAACTGCATAAAGGGCAATAAGCAATCTGTATCTTGTATCACATGCAGAATATCCGAGCAGATTAAAGTGCCTCATTTTCATCGTATTTTTTTGAATAGCTTAATTCTCACCTCTTTTCTTCTTTTATCCACTGAATACAATGCTCTAAGTCTTCTTTAAAGATTCCACTGAGGATAAAACTCTCTTCCACCACCCAGAGTATCTGGATTTTGCTCATACCCTTACCAATCATTTTTTAAGCAATCTCAAACATTCATTTGTAACACTTGGTCAACTTACCACTGCCACAGCATCACTAGAGAGAACAGCATCAACATCCAGCACAGTATAATAAGCTATATTGGTCATAATATAGATAATAGTCACAATTGGCATAGACACTGCAATAGCCAGGGGCAAGTTCCTGTAAGACAAAAAAAAAAAAAACCAAAACTCCACAACTCACAACTGCAGAAAAAGACAAATTACATTAGTAACAGATTGAAGTTTTTTGTTTGTATCATTTACAATACACAGAAAAGTAATGAAGCTAGCATAAAGATCTCCCAAAAGTTATCTCTGGAATCAGAGTTTATTTGCTTTTATAACTAGAAATTCTAGTATAGAAGACTGGAAAAAATATGGTTTTTATAGTAACTTAAAACCTAAATTATGTGTAAAAAGGGATTCTCTGAATGAATCAGAATGACTGCTCTTCAAACACTCTAACTTCAAGGTTTCCAGATCTGTAGTAACAGCCTTCAAACTTGCATGCTTTAAATTATTTCCTAATGTCCATGTTAATTATCACATTTAGAACCCGAAGAGGCAGAGCTCTGAGGTACTGCATTCATTCTCCCTGGGGAATGGGGCTGTCCTTTCAGCACTTACTTCTGGAACTGATGCAGGGAGATTTATTAAACCAAACTCCTGCTCTTCTCATCTGCACTAATCACTGCAGAGAACAAACTAAGTGGGCTGCACAACAGAGATGCAGATCCAAAATTGCTGAACAGCCACGAGCCCCAGCACATGGTGTATCTTAAATAGCAAACACAGGTCCAGAACGCTTTACAAAAACAAGAGGAACAGGAAACTGCTAACCTTTAGATGTGAGCAGGTAAGAGCTAACTGTGAGATAAACTCACAGCCCTGAGTGTGCAGCTCCACAGAAACAAACTACAGAGCAGAAATAGATTTTTAATGTCAGGCTTTGGCTTTTCTCAGTCTTATTCATTCCTCAAACCTCACAGGAATATTCAAACGTTTCAAAAGGGGAAGCAGAATTGAGAGCGTTACTCTCACATTTGCCCAGTTTGAATACAAACACAGCAGGGTGACACTGATGTGCATTTGCCATGAACATTGTTTCCAATAACAACAACAAAAATCCTGGAAAAACAAAACTCCAAAGCATAAAAGTGATCAGTCTGACTGAAACTTTCCTCAAAAACTTCCTGAGCTGCAGAAGTCCAGCTGTTTCTGTCTGCTGCCATGGAAGCGGAAAAACAAACATACTCCACAATCCTCCATATAAATCAGTAAATTAGTAACTGGGAGTTCTGACTCCTCTTTCAGGTTGCACACTCATAGTAATAGACCCGTGAATCCCAGCACAGAGAAGAAAAAGAAGCAGAAAACTGTGAATTTAATTCAGAAATATTACACGACATAACAAAAATCTGAAATAGCATTTTAAAGACTTTGCATCATCCAAGATTAAAGCCAAGGGATGATGTCAAACATAGTTTGTGGATTGCAGCTTTTGGGTGGACAAGCATGAAGGCACTGTCAATCAAGTGAACACAAAAAATATGTAATTCTTGTAGTAATTTTGTAGAAGTCTGGAATACTTCATTATTCCCAAGAACTGTCAATGCAGAACTTGAAGTTCACTTTACCAGCTACCATTCCACCAAGAATGAAGCTTGTATTAGGCACTGATGCCTATCAGCAAACGACTATGAAGAAATTTTCATCAGTTAAATATCCTTTGAAAAAAGTTGTTTTTTCAAAACAATGCATTTAATAGAAGAGCTATCAAACTGATAACAGAGAACACTACACTAACTTTAAAAAGAAAAGGCACTGCAACAATACTCAAAAAAGAAGCTTTTCAGCAGAAAAAGGCCGCAATTTGAAGGACCAAATGACTGATGAAAATACAAAATGTGTGTCTTCTGAATATGTGTATCAAATCTTTGCAAGAGGATATAAAGAAACAAACTGTCAATCTGGAATTCAATCTAACTAAAAATAGCTAGGTTGTTTTAAAAGTACTTATCCACTATTTTAATAGAGAGCTTTCCTGGTTAGATAAATGCCCAGCATAATATTCAACATCCAACACAGAAGGGAATAAACTGCAAAAGTCAAAATCAGTCTGGAGAACTAAAAAAAAATTTCTCATTATTCTTCATCATTCAGTTACAGCAATCTAAGCTGTTAATTGTAACAGGATGCAAAAATTATCAAAGGGGATTCTATTCTAACATAAAAGTGTCTGCTTACAGATTCACAATTGGGCAAGAATAGCCAGTCACACTTTCATGGAAAATATTAATATTTTTAAATACGAAATCAGAATGACTGCACAGTAAACACAGACAACATTTAGGTACCAATGCAACAATGACACCTATTATAATAAATTGTAACAACATCTGGAACTGAGAGCTTATCTAGCACTGAATACAGCGTCCTGCCATCATCTACACTTAATTGTTCTTATGTTTTAATCTCTTTTTAACTTTAAATGGAGTTTAGTGAATCTCTGCTAGTGGCCACCCACAGCCTCACCAGTAGAGCAGTTCTACTAATTTCTGCATAAGCTCTGAAATTATTAGTGAATAACAGCCACAAACCCAGCAACTTGGGAACCATCCACATCTAGAAAGCTCAAATCATTTACCTTTCTGGGTTTTTGATTTCTTCTGTTACATAATTGAGTGTATCCCAGCCAGAGTAAGAAAACAAGGCAGAATATAAGGCAAGGGAGATTTCTCCAATATCAGAAGAGGATCCCTCAAAAGAGTTCTTAAAGTGTCCTGTGTGTCCTGTGTGGAAAAGATGCAATGAAGGACAGGATAATACAATACAGTAAGTAATATTTTTCCATGTGCCACGCAATTACAAATACACCTCAGAAACCCTAATTCCTTCAAATCTGCTTATTAAGACATTTTTTCCAAACTACTTCATGTTTTAGCCATGAGAATAATCATGGCATTTAAAACTACTAAAAATTATTCGCTGTGTATGATATTGTTCTACAGTTAAACACCTGGTTTGTCCACAGTAGCACAAAGTTCAGGAACATTAAGTTCAGACTAAGCTATAAACAATTGGCAATGACAGTACTCAGGTTAAATGTGGGGGTTTATAAAATATATATATAAAATAACCCACTCTATTCTTCTATATCCTTTTAAATTTTCAAACATTTTACCTATGCAGAAAACAAAGATTACAAGTTACTTAGATAACTATGACAAGAGAACCCCACACAAACACTTACAGGGATGTTTAAGGTTTTGCTACTAATAATAGAAAACTGAGAAAAATTTAAAAAGAATAAAGTATTCCTGATAAGATAAAATTTTCCCAAGCTAAAAGTGTGTGTTTTTTGGACCAGTATTTATGAAAACTTGTGCAATCTTTTGACTGTAAGCAAGCCAAGACAAGTTCATCAATCATAGTTTAATATTCAGACTCTATATACATAAACACACACAGAACCACCAAAAACAGAAAGGCAAGTTATTGTGTAACTCCAAAACATGCCCTATATTATGCATCCTGAAGTGTTTAGACTCCATTAAAACTGTAATATTTGAAGCCTCTAAAATATCTTATTTCTCTTTTCTACTTTTTATCCAAATCAAACATTGCTACTCCTTTGGCACAGGTGAGTAACTGCTGAGTTAGGAACAGAAAATGGAGACAATGTCAACGAAATTATATGTGAACAAGCTTGGTATCTACAAAACAAGGGACGGGCAGATGTGTTAAGGACTAAACCTGGTGCTCACATATGCATATTCTTGATTGGTTCACAGTAATTATCTTGCTCATGAACTTTCAACAATAACCAGTTAAGAGCAAAGCACATAAATTGATAGATTGCCAGGGAAAGACAGCCCTTTGTGGTAGCTTTGAACACAGGATAGTTTTCTTAAGCTAACACACCAACAAATTCTTTCCAAAGGAAGGGCTAAGAACAAAACTAAGTTCAGAATTTCTCTTAACTTGAAGACATAATGCCCAACATACACACTTCTAATTGTCAACAGCTATAACAGAACTCAGGCTTTGAGCAAAACCAGAGCTGTTTTATATACCTACATATTCTTAGCACATTTGTGCCTTAAGTTCAGACACTTTCAGGCCACAGATTCCTTTTGTAAAATAAATTCAATTTATCTCACTGTAGAGATGTTCCTTAGAGAAATTTGTAACTTTCATCACTCTCACGGTATTTTGCTGTCTCTGTGTATTGCTGTTTTCACTTCCTTTTTAATTCTGTACTGCAGGCTGTAAATAACACAACATTGCTGAACAGTCAATTATCTTCTTTTACCATGTTCAAAGTCAACTGAGATAAGATGGATATCTTATGACACAGTATCATGATAATGCCTAGCATTAGTATTACTGGTATTTTCAAGGTGGCTGTATTATACTTTTTTCACTGAGGCATTCCATAAAATATATAGAGGTAGCTTACAGTCTTTAGATCACTCAATTTAATTGATAAGCACAAACCTTTGCTTCCAATTTTACAAGCTTACCCTGGCATATTTGAATAAGTCCAGCAATGATGATAGCAATAAGAGCAGCAACTTTAGCATAAGTAAATATATCCTGCACACGTGTGCCCCACTTTACATAGGCACAATTTATAAATGTCAAAAGACCTAGAAAAGGAAGAAAAAAAGAAAAATTAAAAGACTATTTGAACAATGGTCAGTTTAACTCACTTTTCAAAGCTTTTAATTGTCATCTAAATATGCACTTACTTGTTATATTAATAGTTAGGTCAAACTAAGCCAAATACACAGGTACTGAAAACACACTGGTTTCAACACACCAGCAGGAAACAGATGCTTTAAACACTGTTTCAACAGACAGAAGGAAATACTTTCCTGTTCTCTAACTACATGCCCATTTTCCTAATGTCACCCCTCATCAACTGAACTCTGCAACTACCTTGAAACTAAAGAAACTGCTACATGAAAAGGTTTCTTTATGCTTCATTAGGTTGAGGATGAGTTCAACATCCATGGAGTAGCTGCAATGCCAAGTATGGTTACAGGTACAGTACAATGCTATTTTCCAGTTCTACTGAACTGTATTATGAAGAGAGAACATACTGATTTTACAAGGGCATGTAGCGAGAGGACAAGGGGTAATGGCTTTAACCAGAAAGAAGGTAGATTACATTGGATTAGATTAGGTGTCATCAAGAAATTCTTCCATGTGAGGGTCATGAAGTACTGGCACAGGCTGTCCAGAGATGCTGGGGGTGCCCCATTCCTGGAAGTGTTCAAGGCCAGGTTAGATGGGGCTTGGAGCAACCTGTGATAGTGGAATGTGTCCCTGCCCATGGCAGGGAGTTGGCATGAGATGATCCTCAAGGTCCCTTCCAATCTAAACCATTCTGTGGTTCTAATGAGCATGTGCCTTACTAATACAACAGTACAACAGTAGTCTGGATTTTTACAAACTGGTAGGAAGCAATGAGTATTCTGAATATCTTTAGTCCTCAATCCCAAAATAAATTAGTCAGACCTATTTCACAAGATTGCAATGAAACTTGAGACTTCCAGATCTCACAAATATTTTGCAGTTGCTGACCAAACTTACTCACATGATCAACTTCCCCAAGACAGTTCTCATGACTCCCAGCATTTTGCTTTTGCATTCATTACCTTTCTCTGAAGTGGAGAGCCAGACAACCTTTGCTGGAACTCAAGGGCTGTATACTAAGTAGGATTCAGTATCTTCATTACTCTTTATTTAACAAAATCATAATTTGGTACATATTTTTCTTAGCCAAATTATCGCTATATAATTGAAATTTCTGTATTGGAAGCAGTACTTCTCCCAAATCTCTGTTTTCTCTCTAGCTAGATAAAAAGTGTTTATTTACTATTGTACTTTTTATCTCCATAAAGTTTTTTTGCACTACATCTTTTAAACATGCATATTAGTAAAACATAAAATTGACTGTTTCAGAAGGTGGCAGTAAATAAAAATTAAATAAAAATATATTATTTCCTTTCCCATAATCCATGAATACCATTATGCTATTGAAATAAAAATGATCTTAGCACAGCTACCAAATTGAAAGCAATAACTTTTAAAATATAACAAAAGAAAGGTAATGATCGGATAAGTACAGCACTGGTATGTTACACAGTCTGGACAAGCTGGATGAGGTTCAACTGAGTGTGGCAAGAAGAGGGGAGAAAAAAAAATCCAGTCATATCAAATTTCAAAAGTCAGGACTGCTGCAGCTCCCAAAGAGCCTTCAGGAAAGAAAACAACTCTGCTCTTCAGTATTAGTGACTGGAGTATTTGCTTGCTGGGTTTATTTCAGACATATTTTTCAAAGCAACTTTCATTTGGATTAATTATTATTAGTGAGTTAGGGCTTGGTCTCTACTTGAGATGAAATGATACTCTGATACCTTATAAGGGAAAAAAAAGAAAGATTATCAATATTCTGAATAAGCCACATCTCTCTGTCTTTTGCTAAAAATACTCTTTTCTTCAACTTAATTATTGTTTAGCCACTTAAAGTTTTTGAGAACTCTCAAGTTTAGCTCTGTAGCACCAGATGACACCCCACTGCCAAAACGATTGTCAAAGTAATGCTGCATAACACAAAGACTGTTCTCACACTAGCTTTATTATTGCTATTACTAAAATTTAAAAACCCCAACAAACAAAACTAAAAGTAAACCCCACAACAAACCCACCCAGTCTCACATGCAATCTGTACCTAACCAATGTGCAGACTTCCACTCCCAGCAGCTTCATTATTAAGGGATTAATCATATCCAGAGCTAGGGATCTGACAAACAACATCAGCCATGCCAAGACGGGGAGAAGTCTAAGCTTTAACAGCTAAATTAAGCTGTAGAGCAGGGATGAGTCTTAGCACTGACACTCAGAGCAGGGCAGAACAAGAATTTAAACCATAAAACAGTCTGGTAAAGTAAATTGTTCCACCTTCCTGAGAGTGATCCTGCTGTCATGTGTCTCTACTAAAAAAGAGGTGCTAAATCCTCTTTATTAGCAGCATATGTAGAGGACATCACAGTGTTTTTCTATACCTACTATATAATTTTAATTTAATCACTTTGTCTTAATTTCTTGCTTTTTAACAAGCTCCTTTTTATAAGGGCTAACTGCCCTCAGAGTGAGGGGATACTTAAATGGAAGAGCAGATTCTCCCACACTCCTTAATCTGTGCCAAGATACCTTGGGACAATACCTGTTTAAGGAATGTGAACATGACACTACAGGCTCTTCACTCATTTGGAAGAAGGAGGGAACAGAACTGATTAAACTGACAGATCTCCTGGAAGAAGTTTGTGACTATTTTTTCCCCCTATCTGGTCCTCAACCAGGATGTTAATGCTTCCATAACAGTAAAAAAATAACCAGAATGGAAGAGGAAGCTGCAATCATCATAATCAGTTACAGAGGTCAACTATCCAAAGTACCTGCTACTGCTCTGTCATTTCCTTTTTCTTATCCTTTATAGACAACTCCAATAAGGAACATTAGAGCTCTTCCAACAGATGCCTCAAAAAGGAACCAGCTAGAAGCAGCACATATCCTTGCAGCATATTGTTGGCAGTAAAATAGTCGAAGTTCTGTGCTAGCTTTTTGATACAAAATTGTGTCAATACAGTGACAGGCTCCAGAGCACACAGCTATGGATCAGTACATCACAAAGCACTGTCCTACAGACTTACTGAAATACAGTTTTCATTGTTTTCTGGAAATGTAAAATATGTCTATAAACACTTTTAATAGGAAACACCTAAAATTAAATAAGACACACACAATTCAATCATACAGTATCATTCTCTTGATGTCCTAGTTTGAAGTGTGTGGGCAGCTGTTCCTCTGTATTGACTAACAGAGCTGGCTATATGAATACAAATACTTCAATATTTTATGTGCATGCAAAATTTCCACTTTTCAAAACAGCTTTACCACACATACTGTTGTACTGATTTTACAGTTAATCCCAAGTATGAAGAATAATCTTGAATGAATAATTTTTTGAAACCAGAGTAGTAACTGAAGCATGTAACCATTGAGAAACTATTGCAAACCAAATTATATTAGAATTTACAGAATAAGAGCCATTTTGCAATAGGTCTTAAGAATATCCCGAGGTTTGATTTAAAATACCTCTCTCAATGGAAAACAATTTTTAACCCATTTTTGCCACGTAAGTAAGCTTGGAAGAGCTCAATACTTGTTTCTGCTTCCAAATGAGAAAATGGTCATTCACTGACTGAACACCTTCAAGTTTCTCATGTGCTGTAATTGTTCTTTCCCCCACTGTAATGCAAACCATTGCAGATCCAGCATGCACCAACTGTGAGCGTGGGTAAGATGTTTAATAAAACGTACCCTGGATAAAAACTTACCATAGTAAATTTCAATAAATACTTACATTCACAAGTAGCTGCTATGAGACGACAAGCCACATACGGAGGGTCGCAAGAAGGGAAGAAAGGCTGAATTATGTAGTTAGCAAAGGTGATGGCAATGATTGCCTGACTAGTTGGTTCAACAATCAGGAGTGATGTCCACAGACGAATAAAAGCAATGAAGCTCCCAAAAGACTCCAAGATATATGCATAGCTGGCTCCTGACTTTGTAATAGTGGTTCCAAGTTCAGCATAGCAGAGAGCTCCAAAGACTGAAAATATCCCTCCAATTGCCCAAATTATTAAAGACAATCCGTAAGATCTGCTGTAGATGAGAACTCCTTTGGGCGAGACAAAGATACCTGAACCAATCATGTTGCCTACTATAAGGCTTATCCCATTTATTAAAGATATTTCTTTCTTCAGTTGCATTGTATTTTGGTCTCCATCCTTTGTTCTAAGTGTATCTGTCCTTTCTGATTTATTGACGGGGCTGTATTCAGCCAGTGAAATTTGTGATTTTGTATAATCTGTCCTTTCTGCCATTGTAGAAAGACTGTGAATTCTCCACGATTCCAAATCACAATCTAAAACAAAATATAGATAGCTGAAATCATTTTTATTATCCCAGGATTTTCCTGCAAAATCTTCTTTCCACCTTTTTACCCTATGATTTACAAATATAAATTAAGATATTTCCTTTTGTTGCTTCAAGTTTGGTTCTTTTTACACGAAGTCAAATTCATGCACAGTTAAACAGCAACCCCTACAAACCAAGAGACAAATTCCTATATAACCTTCAATGAAAGAGGAACTGCTACCATCAGGAAAACAAACAAAACTGTAGGAAGGACAGAATTAAAGGACTCCTATCTTGAGAAGACCAGAAGAAAAGCCAGAAAGTAGGTCAGAGATAAGGAAGCACCACGAGACCGAGGTGGAAGTTCTAAGCATGAACATAGACGTACTGCAATACTAAAAATCCCAATCCAATTACTGTGCTTACACAGGCAATTTATGAGTTATCTAGTAACAGGTTATCTAGCAATATGCCCTCGTGTTATCAATGCACTGAGGGCTCTTGCTGAGGGCCACAGGCAGAGGAACTCACTCCACACTGCCCTTGACCCAACCCTTGACTTCTGACACCACAGCTCTTCGCTCCCTCCCCAGAACTCTCTATCCCCATCTCACTGCCTCTGTACTCAGTTATCTAAAAGTACAGCCTGTACATAAAAACCCACAGTAGTTGCAATCCAAATTCCTCCATTAGCAGTTGTATTTAACAGTACCTAAGGACACAGAAATTAACTTTTTCCTCTGCTTCAGAATTGACTGACTGGAAAAGAGCCACTTTTTTCTGAAGTCTCTAGAAAATGCTCCCATGCCTTCCAAAAGCAAGTTACTGCTAATAAAATCTTTCAGTTCAAGAAGACATTGATAATTCTGAATAAGACCCATTAGACCTATTTTACAAAAGTTTAAGATCACTAGCTTATTAGTTGCATAAAAAAACAGGCCCTACATATCTACCCGAATTATTTTCATAACTATTCATTTGTCCTGCCCCTGATTCAACCTTTAGTGTACACTTCAGCTATTTAATATAGAATATAACAAAAAAATTAAAATCTGGGTCAATTAGAATAAAGCAGCTAATCTAGTGTGGGGTGGATTTTGTGTTTTTTGGGGGGTAACAATAAACATGTCAACTGAGACAACAAAAAACCTAAATATGGGAATTTTGAAAGGTCAACATGCAGTCACCCAAACTAAATGTACATCTAGTAACATATCAACATACAAACTCCTGTAGGCACACCTTTCTGGAGAGAATACTCCTCCTCTATCATAAAGCAAACACCTTGTATACTAAAGCACAGAGAATCTGACCTGACATCCCTGAACTAGAATGAAAATGTGAAAATTACAAAGATTATTTTCAATCAATTAAAGAAGTAACTTCTACTGAAATGGAGTACAAATTTTTAATTGAAAAATACTACATCATTCATCTTCAACTCATGAATCTTTAGAGACTGTGTTCTTTTAAATAATGCTAAGTTAGACCCTCAATCTGTTTAGCTGGATGTCTTCTGGTTCAATATTCCAAATAAACACTTTAAAGATGCTTAGTTACTAAATATATATTTTATCATTTATATATTAACATCTAGTATCACAGATACATCAGAAGACATCAAATTTCACATTTATAATCAAAGAGAAAATTTTTAAACTTACAGACACTAATCACTGCCATTTCAGAACTAAAAAGCTTGAGTATTATAATGAGGCACCTCCAACAAAATTAACTACAAGAGAGGCATCCCCACAGTTTCAACAGATAAGTACAGCAAAATTGCAAAGGAAAACCAAAGTAAATTGATCACACCAGTTGTGTTTCTCTTGTTATTTATTCTTCCATCTATCTTGTGCCAAATTCATTTGCAACCAGTTACCACCTGACTTTCCGTTAGTGGTGTAGTAAAGTTTTCAAAAACACACGTGCTCTATAAATTCACATGATTATTTGTCTGATATGCTAGAGGAAGTTATTATCTGTAAATGCATATAATTTTTAATCAATTATAGATATGATGCAATAATCAGAAAGCTCTGCAAAATAGCAGAAAAAATAAACAAAGCAGATGTTTTCATTACTAATTTGGCTGTAAGAACTGGATTTAAAAGAACACTTGTGACCCATAAAAATATAATTCAACTCCAAACTATTTTTTTCCATGAAAAAACTTGGGATAGGACACTAGTTGCAAATGTTTTTTAGAAGGCAATTCACCCTGAACAAATGTCAGCAGAAAAACCAAGAATACTACAGCTATTATTATGACATCCAACTACCATTTGAGAGCGTGCCATCTTCATTTTCAGCCCTTACAGCAAAATGGCAAAACTATATAAATAAGTTAAGAACTGATCATGAATGTAAACCACCATTTTGGCATTTTGGTGGTAACTACACAGATTTAGGATTTCTTACTTACATATCCTAATCATTATTCCCATTTCTTCCTGAACACCTTCCAAAGCACACACATGTATCAGAAGCTTACACATTACTTGGACTACTCGGGCATTTTGATGATTTAAGTCAATTGAATAATTCAAATCACATCAAACCCGGTGTCTTAATGCAGAGCCAGTTTTGAACAAAGAGTAACCATCATTTATTTACCTCATGGTCTGGAGTTCAGAAGTGCATTTAATTACCCGCAACTACAAACTCTGTCACGTCAATTAGCAGCATGTGACTGCAGTTCTATACAGTTTTGTTAGCTATGACCTTGACTGCTTCTTGCCCTACTATCTCCACCCAAGAAAGAACAATCACACTATCTCTCAACCTAGACTCTTTTGTCCCCCAGTTCTGCTTCTTCCCCTCCAAGCCTGCTTTTGTTATTCCCAGCTTTGGGAATCTGCCAACAACTAGTATTTGCTTGACGGTGTGTACAGCAGATCAATGAAGATTTGATACTTCAGTCTCTTCCCTAGTCTTGTTTGTTTTATATGCCTTTTAAAGCCATCAGGGCAGGAATTTCTTATTTGCCCGAGTGACAAGTGACGTGATGCATTATACCACCTCTGACAAAATCAAAACTGTTGGCAGGTTTTTTTCTCTCAAGTACTCCACTTAATCTTAAGTGGAATCAGAATCTGCAGCTTTGGCCAACTGGAAAAACTTATCAAGAAAGAGGGAAAGCAGAGACTAGAGAAAACTGAAGCTATGTCAGAGAAAAAAAACCATATATTAAAATCCATGATTCTGTCATGAGATCATTATTTCAGTGGAAACAGAAAAGAGGCTTGGAGGAGGAGAACCAGAGACAAATAGTATACATTTTCTAAAATACAATAATCCTAATATACTGGAGCTAAAAATACTTTCAGAACAATCTCTAACGCTGCCAAAGCCTGACCACAGGAGTGCTATTGCTAATGCAGGGTTCTTTCTGCCTCCACACAAGCTAACCAACACGTGGATTTCCTCATCGCTCACCCTTGTGCAACACATCGTCTTCAACTCTTTTTTTTTTTTTTGCTGATCACTGCAGCTGTGAGGAATCTTTTTGCTGATATATGTAGATTTTTTTTTTTTTTTAACTGAAATTATTCTGCTGTTGGTATAGAAAGCTATGATATGAAACCAGGACCGAGTGACCTGAAACTTCACTTCAGTGTTTCAGTAAAAATGTATCTTCTGGTAAGGCCTATCACACTGCAGCTAGGTACCAGAGGAGCTGATGAAGGTTAACATGCAATTAGCAATGTACTAACACTGCATTACAGGGCGGCCCTCCTTTAACGGGAGGGAAAAAGGAACCATCTGCCAAGATCCTCTTTCTCCCACTGAGTCAGTTGTTCGACCTGGGATGAACCTACAAGTTATTTAATGACCAAGGTGAAGTACCAAACTGCTAAAAGCTGTGTTTGCTGTGCTTTTATACGATACTTGCTCATTAGCAAAGGTCTCTGATGCTCTTGCTTCTGTCTTCCTTAGCTCTTGATTGCATAAAACAACTCTCACTGTAGCAGCACAGCTTTACATACACATTTTGGCTGTTCACAAACACCAGATGTGTGTGTGAACTCCTATTTCTGAACACGACTGGCGCTATGAGCAATATTTAAGATTGCTCTATACAAGCAAACAGCATCACTTCAGGGAGTTAAGCACCAACAGGTCAAAGTCCAGAAATGCTTATTCATTGTAATGTATATATTTAGGAACCTCATAGTTTGAACATTTACATAGGAAAGGTTTAGATTTTGTCTAGGATATGTTTTTCTAATGAGAGAAGAATCATTGCCTTGCCATATATATGCTTAACAGACAGGAACCCCGCGCAAAAAAAAGCAATTCCCACTGTAAAGATCTAATCTGCTCAACCAAGTCTTTTGTGTTTGCACATACAAATACACCATCTTTAGCACAATAGAAAATAAATCCTACCAACAACATTTTGATCAGATAGAATTGGTTGTAACATCTGTTAAAAAAAGAAAGGACAAGGTACATTTATTATGTAAAAAAGTATTTAAGAGAAGTATGGAAAAAAAAGTATGAAAGAACTATGACCGTTTCTTCACTTGATAGTTTATCAGTATGGTCGTAAGTAACATTTTCATATTTTTTGTATTTTTAGTTATTTTCATATTTCCAAGTTAAAAAATAGAAGTAAGCTCACAACAGGGACTTTGATCAGTCTTGATTTAGGCTGGGAGCGCACAGAGTTGCTGCAGTGAGAGGAACATCTGGTGAAACGTATACAGGTAAAGACAGAAGCAACAATCATAAAGTTCATCATCTTATTTTTCATGCTGAGGAAGAAAAGCAGAAGCCTCTTCAAAGGAGGAAAATTAATGCTAAAATGGCACATGCTACACCCATGTGTACTCTTCAGGCGGCACTTACAGCTGCACCTGATCACATCGGAGATAATACGCTTAATTTAAAAACACATAAACCAATCAAATCACTACTAAAGCAGACCAGCGAGACAGGTGCGCTGGCCCGAGGGTCTCGCTGAGCCCCCTTCAGTGCCCGGCCACAGCCCGCGGGCAGGAACGATCCGCACGGGAATGGTCCGCACGGGAATGATCGGTCCGCACCCTCCACACGGGAGGAACACGTGGCTTCACAAAGCCACCCTCGGGTCGCCATGAGGCGCCCGGGGGGCTGCGGCCGCCGGCCTGGGCGCCGCGGGGTCCCGCCGCACGAGGGGCGCGGCCACGGTGGCACCGCCGCTCCCGCAGCCCGCTCCGCTCCCCGCGGGCGGCGGTGACCCTCCTTCTCCTCACGGAATAAGCGAGGCTCACACCGCCCCGCCAAGGAAGTAGCTGCAGGCAGCCGCCTCGGGCGGGGGCTGTCAGAGCCGGGGCGCCCTTTAAACACAATACAGAAAAGCACACGGCGTTAATCTTCCACCGCACGCTTGCGGCAGCGCGGGTCGCCAAAGCCGCCGCCCCAGATGCTCCGCAGGGCAAGGCGCTGCCGCCGCAGCCTCTGCACCGAGGCCGCTCCCTGCCCGCCTTCCCTCTAGGTGCAGGGAGCCGAAGGAAAGCGGGGAAGGAAGCCGAAACCCCCCCCGGGCTGCGCCGGCCGTACCGCGTTACCTCCGCTCCCGCGGAGCCGCCTCGGGATGCTGCCGCCCGTTGCCACCCGAGACGCGATGGCGGCCCCTCAACCCCGCCCCCCCGCGCCGGCATCGCCGTCGCCGCCTCCCCGCCGCGCCGGCCCGGCATCACCGCCTCCGTCACCGCCTCCTCGCCCTTCCGCGGCAGAAATCCGCTACCTTCCGCGCGGTCTGCCCGAGGGAGAAGCCGCGAGGGGCCCGCCGGCTCCGCAGGGGTTGCGCGGGACCCCCCGGCACCCGCTGGTGCGCAGGGAAGTGTTCGCCGGGCCGGAGCTGCCCCCCGCCCCGCGGGGTGCGCGTCAGCCCCTCCGGTACCGGCGGCTGAGGAGAGCCGCCACCGCCTCCCCCGCCGCCGCCGGAGCGGGGGACCAGCCTCCCGGCTCCCCGCGGGGGCAGGATGGAGAGGAGCCCTAGCGCTGACGGTACGGCACGGCGCCGCTGCCAGCCCGGCCGGGGGCCCCTGAGGGCCTCGGGGACGCGGAGCCCCGGCGGACGCTGCGCGAAGTTACAGCCGCATGAGCTACACCTCCTGAGAGACCCTCACGCCGGAGGCTGAGGGGGCTGAGAGGGTGGGAACCCTAAAATCTGATGATACTTTGGGTTTCTACTGCATAGGTCCTATGCGCCAGTCGTAGTGGATATGGAAATGAAAATAAAACGCTACCACCGGTGTGTTCCACATAGCTACACCCAAAATTTGGCTTTGTTAAAATAGTAATGGGCTTCTCAGGATGATGATAAAGTGACCCACAGTGCCTGATTAGCAAGGAACTGGCCATTCAGCAGATTTATCTGGGGTGTAATGAAAGCTTTTTTGTCTTCCACCAGCAGATTAATAGTTTTACCCTGTCCAAGCCAGTAAACCCCAGGCCACAGCCCCCTCTTCATGTTCTGTTGTTACCTGTTTGCTGCTCCCTGCAAGGCAAAGGGATGGTCAGTGCCTGGAAAGACAACAGGGCTCAGGAGACAGGGTAGTCTCACTCTAAATAATTTAATTACTCCTCCCTTCCCTGATCCACAGTTGTTATCTACCATCTGACACATATAAGTAAGACATGAAGTTTTTCAAGAGAGTAAAAATCTTGGGGGCAAATAAAAATTATAAGGCTGTAAAAGAAGAGGGAAAGGAAAACTGTGCACTGTAATATGCATGAATGTGCTAGTAAATGCAATAGTGGAGTCCAATTTTATTGCCACAAGGCTTACATTTCTGATTTCCATTCTGCTTCTTCTCTCAAAAGTTTTTGTGTTTCATCAAGGAGTTGTTTTCCTTCGTTGTCACAGAGACAACCAGGCTACCAAGCAACTGCTGCACTCATCTATATCTCCAGATATTCATTACACTGTGTTTGGATATAAATTAATTAGGAAGGGGGAGGGGGGGTATTAAAAGTTGGCTTTTTAAGTGCACACAAAGAAGATAATATTATTAGACTTTATTTCTAAACCATAAAGCACCATAGCAAAACAAACTCCCATTTGCAGGAGCCTGATCTTCTCAGGTCTTTAATTATGTTTGTCTCAACTCTTTGTTTGGCTTTTGTCAAATACAAACTATTCTAAATCTATTACCTGCTAAAGCTGCTGACAGTGTTGCGAAGCAGCAAACAAAACCAGTCTGCTGCCTTCTGGGATCTTAACAGCTCTGATAGGTTACTTCTTTGTTTTTAAGCCACTTACACAGCACTTACAGAAGATAAAAACATAGATGACATCTCCAGAATATAATCAAATCCTTACAATATGAAACCAATTGTTGTTACAAAGATAATACGAACCAGAAAGCAGTCATTTGATGGTAATAGTGCTTAGTGATTCTACAAATGTAGTGCCCTGTGTTCTGTAGTGCAGGATTTTTGGGTAGATGGGTATTTGCAGCAGTCGTCTCACACGTTAATCAAAAGGTGGATTGAGTGTGAATGTAAAAGATAGAGCTGATTTCAGTTGTTGCTAGACTGCATTTTAAGCGTTCCCATGATTGAATCTATTGTAAGACAGCATTCACTCCTCCAAAAAATGGACTTATAAAATGTCAACTAAGTTATAAATTATTTTAATTATAAAATTGCCTTTAGAAATGAGAAATAGATGAGAACTGACAAGGCATAGGAAACAAATTATTAGGCATATACTGGAAGTATAGAGAATGACATTTTACTTTAGAACTTTGAAAAAGTGCCCATTTGAGGGTTTCAAAAATAGAAGTTCACCAATTATGAGAACTTACAACTCTGTAGAGGTTGGTATGAGAGATCCAAGTTAGGACAGCATCATAAGGCTAGACAATGTTTCTGAAATGTTTGCATGTGAGCAGAAGCAAACCTCAGAATAATCATCCAGATAGATATTTTTGTTCATTTTGGTAAGGTTCTCATTTTGTAAATTACTTTACCCATTTTACTATGGAAGCAAAATGTAACTCTGGACTCCATTATTTCTTCTCTTGTTGCAGATTACATAAATTTCGTGCCTCATCCCTGATGCTCCATAAATGGCCACTGGTAAGTTATGTTTATACAGGAGTGTGTATTCTCTAAGTGCTAGCAGACAAAAAACAGCTAAAAAACATTTGGTTTCTAGGGTTTTATCTGATACTAATTTAATCAAGTTAAGATCTTATCTCCTTCAGCTAATGAGAACAAAGTCAGACTGAGTTTTGGTTAAGTTTTGCCCTATCTGCTTTTTTGTGTCTGACTAATATTGTCACTAGATGCCTCTTAGAAAATTTAATTCAACTCAAAAAGCTTGAAGAATAAACCAATTAAATACCCCTGAACAAACCAAATTGAAATAGCATCAGATTATGGGAAACCAAATCCACACAATATTCATTAAATGGTTTTAGAACATGAAACAAAACCAAAGTAAAAATTGCTATTAAATCTGAGTGAATTTGGAGCCTTATACATCAGCATTGTGCTTGTTCACAAGTTTATTCTGGTGAGTTTAAGCATATTCTTACAGCATAAGTCCTCCAAGAATGTGTTGCTCATGCACTTAATCAATGGAAGAATGAGCGTGTCCTGAGCTCCTTAAGGGTCAGCACTGAAGGGGTGCTGTGTAAATGTAAGTAGTACTCATTGGAGCTTATGGTGGAAATATTGCTTCCAGCCATGTGCTTGATGGTTTATGCTGGTTCCTTTTGAAATTCTACCATACAGAGTGACTCCTGGGACTACTCTGATGTTGAAATGTACATTCTGTGGACACAGAGTTATTCACAAGGGTCATGAAATTACTCAGGACAGTAAATCTGGGAGTTTAGCCAGTTCCCAGCAAATTACAATTTTATTAAGTACTTAAAAGCAGACATTATTTTTTTGTTAGTTTTTCAACCTTAATGATTTAAAAAATCAAACACAATATCAACCATGTATTTCAGGAAACAGAATCAGTTAAAAAAGAAATGTAAGTGCACCTGTTTCTTTTCTTTGGTTAAAGCTGAGTGACTTTGTTTACAAAAACAAATTCACTGATCATTTACCCTTTCTTTTTACCTTCATCTTTCTATCACACAAATTTCTTCAGTAGCTGGTTTAAGCAGGGTAAGTCTGATTTACAGATGAAAGTGACTATAAACACCAAAGTGCTGTGCATTTAAAGGAAAAGGTCTAAATTTAGGCTTCTGTATTTACCTTCCCCTGCTCCTAGCTGCATGTCTCCTCCTACTCCAGTGGCCTTCAGCATTTGACTGGTGCTGGCACTTGCCCAGCTCTCTCTGTAAACTCACTAAGCTGTCAGTACTTTTATGAAGGTAGGGTTTTTACTATCAAAATCACGGAAGTACAAACATGGAGTAAGCCAGAAGCAGAGGCTGAGGTGGTAGAAAATATCCCTTTAAGGAACAGAAACTGTGAGATGTCTCTGTCTTGTCCAACTGCATTTGTTTAATACTCTGAAGATTAATATTAGTCCTTCTTTTATGGAAAACGTAGCTTCTCTGTACTGAAGTTTTTTAAAACAGACTGTAAAATAAGCTTTGACATCCCATCTTTTAATTTTATTTGTCCTATCTAGTTCTGTTGCCTTTCAGGTACCTATTTCTTTTCACTGCCTTATCTATTCTCATAAAAATTTATTGTTTGCTTGCACATAACTTTGTTGCATATTATTGCAAGCTGTTTTTGTTCAGTGCAAAGCAGAAGTGGGAATAGATATCTTCTAAAACATGGACCAGTTTTCAAATGTTAACTTTGCTAGGAGGGCAAAAAAAAAACAAACCAAAAGACCAGCAAAAATATCTCCATCTTCAGGTAAACTTTAAAGGTCTCTAGGACTTTTTTATCACTATTTTGATTAATGTCGCAAACTTTGTATTTTAATTTTACATTTCTCTTGCTCATGTAATCTCTATTAAAAGGAGAATGTGCAATATGTAAAGTTTTCCCCAGTCAATTTTGGGAGTTTATTTGGAAAAAATAGTCCCTTGTACATGTACTTGTTTTAAAACAGATGGTTTGACTTAATGCTTTAGACAACTAAATCATTCAGCTTTGAGACTCTACCCTTTGATTATACAAATTGTCTTATCTTTGTTGAATTAACTTCATGAGCATCTGGCTATTTATTAATAAGAGTGAATGAATCACAGTCTTTGTTTTCTTGGAAAATAACATGGGAGTTAGAATCATTGTTTCACAATTCTTATAACACTGCAGGGATTTTTAAAGATAATGCTCTTTGTCCATGTCTAATTGGAAGGCTATTAAAAGTGATTATGTATAAAAACAAACTTGTAGCTGTAAAAAATAGCAACTTAAGGATAAATATTTTTTTCTTTCTTGTTTCAGGTCCCAAATTAGCATGTGGGTACTATGATTGAAGAATATGAAGTCCTTAGTTATAATGTTTGTAACAGAGTTCAACAGCATTTAAATAAATTTATTCTGGATGAGACAGTTTTAAAGACATCTGTTGGGTTGGGTTGTTCTTTTATCTTAAGTAATTCTGGCCTTCTAATACAACTGCTCAGACTTTCTTCAAAACAGTAAAGTTCCTCTCTGTTATAGATTCCCCTGTATTATTGTCAGTCCTTTGTTGATATACTTGTGGTACCTGTCTCTCTCTCTCTCTGATTAAAAGCAGGAGTGTTCTGAGTTCCTGATCATACTCAGCAGTAGTTACATTGACACTGTGTTTGCAAGCAGCAGGTTACTAGAGGCTGAAGCCAATGTCATCATTTTGTTTGTATTATCATGCTGAGTCCAAACTTTGCCATTTAAATACAGACAGATGTTCCTTAGCAGAGCCACTTTGAATGCAGCATATTACAGTACAAACCCATCAGTGCTGATCCCACTCTTCCATCTTTGTTTTTAGTGCACTCCTGTTACTTTTCTCTTAATTACTGAATTACCGTGAAATGTTTGTACAATACAAATAAACTCAGACCTTTAATTAAAATTCTCTGCTATTTTATTTAGAGAACTTAAAATAATGCAATACTTTACAGTGTAGGAACAGTTGTTGGATGAACAAAAGTAAGGACAGCCTTTATTCCCTAAACTTTCAGACTTCTGGGGGATTCTGTAGTTGTATTTTATCCAAATTTAGGATGCCTTTAAAAGTAAAGTTTTCCAAAAAATAATCTCAAAGACCTTTCTATATAGATTCTACACAGTGTGTACTAATCAAGTATGTCAATGCATGTTGATCTCATTCTTTTGCCTCTAAGGGGAACAGACTAGTGTACTTGTGGTAAGAATGACAAGATCTAATTAGCATGCCCTGTAAAAGAAAGAAAACCACCTTGTTTCACAAATATAATATTAGAATACCTTGGAAGTTTTCGCTCAAGTTCTTGCCCAAGACTTCATGTTCATGAGCAAGATTTTCAGAATGTCTCACTATTTAAAAGTGCACCTTAAGAACTGAGATGTAAAATATCTTAATGCTAAAATAATCTTTAAGAGTAGGGATTTATTGCCAGTCCATTTGGCTTTGCAGTAAATAGGATAGCCCTATTAATGGGTTTATTAGTCTTTTGTCTGCCAACATAGTTGTTCCAATTTCAAATCCATTCTTTGCTATTATTAGAAGGCATCCAACCCTGAAATAAAAATTATGGTTGACTTTGCTAACTTTTCGGAAATGATTTCTCAGCAGGCTATTTGTGAGTGTTTTGCACTTTGCTCCTTTGTTCCCCACTTGTCTCTTGATTACTTGGTGTGTACAGTGTCCTACGGAGCAAAACATAGTGGACTAATTAAGAGCTACCAAGAGTTTCTCAAGTTATGCAAGATCCCCAGAACTATGAAAAGCCTTTTCAGATTCCCAGTCACGTACTGTGAAGTGCCATAAATCAAACTTTTGAAAACACTGAAAGCTGTGCTTCAGAGACTTAACAGATATACTTTAGTTCCAGGAGAAAGTATTTACTTTTGTCCAAGTTTACTGCTATGTTTTTTAGTACTGTTTTTTCTCATTTGAAATCCCACAGGCTATGAACATTCCGAATACCAGTAACATTGATTTAATGACACATGATCGCTTATTGGTGACACTGATGACATTGGTATCTCTACTTTTACATGAGTCTGGAAGACTGAAGTGAGAGCAAACACTTGGGCTTTACTGTTAGAGCTTAGGTAGGAGGATAAAGGAAACTAAACCTGGTGTGTCACATTACACTCTGGAGGTCAGGGAGTTATTTTTACCTCACTGTCACTAGTATGGGAAAATGTGGAAGACCTCAGTTTATGTGGAAGCTATAGGAGATGGTGAGTTATTTGTTAAGATGTGTCATCAGTGTCATCTCATGCAACAAACCTTATGGCTGGAGTCCTGCAAGTGTCCTCACCCCTCACATCAGTCATGTAAGGTTGCTCAGTGTCACTCTACACAAACAACTCTGTGTTTGTCCTTACTACAAAGGACAAAATTTATTAATTTATTACTGAAGTGTTGTATAATTAGGGAAAGTGTTATTTTGGATTGTTCTATGCTAGAATGACATGCATTGTAGATAACCATGACGTTGTGTCATTAAAACAAAACCCAAAGCTTTAGATTAAGTGGTTGTACTGAAACAACTGGGAGGCAGCTACATTGCATGTTGTTGGAGTTAAATCCAATGTCTAGCATACAGTAAAATTACACCTGTGAAATCCTGAAAATTGCCTTTTATTTTGTTTCTTAATAAGGCTTCCTTTGTCCAAGAAGAACATCTGTGATTAAATAGCCAGCTGTAAAAACAAATAAGAAAAATCCTGTCTGCATGCCCGGGCTTATCTTGAAATCTCAAATGCAGAGTGCACCTTTGCCTCTGCAGCTGTGTCTGTGCACAGTGACTGGTACAGCTCATTGGCACTGCTACAAGCAGGAGAGGCCTGGCCACAGGCCAGGTGCTCCTTCTCTTGCTACTGAGGATGGACAGAACACTGAACAAGAAAGGACAGCTTTCACTAATGGGGTCTAATTTGGGTGAAGAAGCTGACAGTTACCATAAGATTTAAACCAAAATAAATCGTCTCAGACCACCTAAAAATGTAGTGGACTTGGCAGTGTTAGGTTTACAGTTAGACTCAATGATCCTAAAGGTCTTTTCAATCTAAATGCTTCTGTGATTTTAAGAATTAATTAAATTGCTATATTGATATGCTAGTAAATGGAATACAGGAAAACATTCTTACTAAGCACATCAAAATGCAACAGCTGAGGAGTTAAAATGCTATTATATATGTTACAGAAAATTAAATGTGAGTTTTGAAAGGCATAATATAAAACATCCAAATATAAAGCATCCAAATCTCTCCTCTCTTGTTCATTTCATGAATTCTCTATGTAAGTGAGAGTCTTCTGTAAACAAATAAATCTGTGAGTTTGAATACCAGTACATGATCAATTGCAGTGGAGAGAACAGGTTTTAACCACAGTTGCCAGACTGCATTTGAACCAGCTCTGCAGGAGTCAGAGCAGAAGGGAGGAGAGCAGAGCAATGCCTTGTTTTGCAGAAAGCCTCCCTGAGTTGAACTATTCTTTGGCTGTACTTCTTTTAGTCTCATACAGTGTTTAATAAAACCTGTCCAAGACAGGCAATCTATCAGAAAAACAATTTAATTTCTGTGTGAGGTCATACCTGTTCAACATAAGTAACAACCTATTTTTTTTCCCGTTACTGCATTTGCATTTTAACATAGTATGTCATAAGGGGTTCTTTTTTTGTTCCTGTGGCTTCATGTGAAAAGAGGAAAGAAAATACATGAATGTGACGTAGCTCTCTCATCAAACATTTAATGGACTGGACAGAAATCTTGCTGGATAAAGACTGCATTTTAATAAAAATGGAAACATTTTCATTGTATTTGAGAGAAGATGACCAACCATGATCTGCTGAAAAGAAAAAGTAAAGGAGAGCCTTCTTTTCTTTTAGAATTTATAGCAACACTGTAAAGGGTGGAAATAATTTCCAGGGCTCTTTAATTCAAGTTATCTCTATTCCATTGTCCTGACAGCTGACTTGATAACAGGCCCATGCCTTCACAGGTGGGTGTTAGTGGAATAAATAGTGATTGAGTTACAGAGCAGCTATAAATATCTATGTTATTTAGCTCCAAGCAAAACCACGTTATTTGTTCCCTTAAATCACTTCAGCTTTTATAGCTTGCATAAATAAATTGAACAGGCTGAAGGAAAAGGTTTAGTAAATCACTGTTGTTTGTATGAATTTTGTCAACTAAAGAACTCTCAATCAGGTAAAAGAAAGTTCCATGAATATTGCTCATTTCTCTGGGTATGGGGAAGGAGCCTGTCTTTATGATGGCCTTTAAAACTTTTTTAAGCCCCTGCTTGAAAGCCAGTTCAGAAGGACAAAGCACAAGAACACACCGGGTATTCTGTTTCCTCACTGCATGTTCAGTGCCTCCATTCCAGACTCTTTTGTGTGCCCTTCATCTCCTGTTTGCTAGACCAAACACACACAATTTTATCAGCTTGTCCCTAACCTGAGGTTTCCTCACTGCTGATCAAGCTTTCCTCTCTTCTGGATTCTCCTCAGTCTGTGCTCAGAGCTGAGTGTTGTTCTCTGGCAGCCACAGCACTGCCTGCAGGGAATGGCAAACAAGGGCTCCTCTGGCACCTGGCACACACAGGTGAGCACACCGTGCTCTCCTTCCACTCCCCTGCTCTTCTGTGACACAAGCTTATCACAGCACATGGAAGTGGCAGAAAAACAACTTTCTTGGGAACATATTTTGCAGCTGTTACAAGGTCAAAATTCTCATACAATTGGTTTTTGGTTTTTTTTTTAATATTTACCAGGTGCATTCCTTAGTAATTTCTCTCATTTTTTCCCCCCACCAGATAACATTCTAATGAACTGGAAAAAACCTTTGAGCCCTTTTTGGCCAAAGGACAATAAATTTAATGTTAGTAGTCATTCTGTTAACTAATATGGCACTTTTTTTCTTGGTATCTAAAGAAAGAACTAACTGTACAGAACTTTCTAAAGTACAGCCAGGTTACGTCTGAAAGGGTAAAATTCAGGCACGCTTTCTGCTTGTATGAACATTGCTTTTGCTTTGTGGAAAGTTCAAGTACAGCAGTTGGAAATAGGTGTTGAGATACTTTGGCATGTTACCACATTTTAAAGGGCAAGTTCTTATTCTAAGTTACTGCCATTTAATTCATCCAGGTTGAAGGAGTCCAGAAATTCTTTAACTGATGCATGTCTTCTCTGAAAAAAAGGTTATTCTTAAAGCCCAAGGAAAATGACAGTTTGAGGCTACAGAATTCTGTAGTATTACTTGACATGTATTCTTGGCAAAGAAATAAAGGCAGAAAATAAAATACTGATCACAAATCACATCAGCACAAGACCTGGAAATAGTTAAGTCTAAGCTTCTGATCTACCATTTTTGTGGGGTTAAGCAAAATTCCTACAATTAACATGTTTTTGTAGCTGTGCTGAATTTAATGTAAGCCAGTTAAATCATTAAATATGTTCTTTCCAGCCTTGTCAAGTAGTTTAATTTATGGTGGATTTACCTTCAAAATCTAGGAGTTTTGTTTAACTCAGCTGACATACCATCTGTCAAGTCAACCATGTGCTCCATTAAGGGAATGTAGTTCCAGGCAGGCAATGAAGGAATTGCTTCTCTAGGAAAGGAACAAAATCCAACTGTGCTAGGGTCTTTTGCAAAGTGGGGGAGGGCCGGGCACTGCTGTGTGGATGAAAAGAATTAAAGGGAATATAGTGCAAGGCAAGATTCCTGAGGCATAAAAGACCCCAGCAATTCTGGAGACAATATGTATTACTGGAGGAGAGCATAGTTAATAGTTGTATAGCTCTGAAAACAATAAACAGCAATAAAGAAATCTAAATTTTCTGTGCGTGTCTTGATGATGTTTGGGTCTTTCCCTAACATACCAGGCCCACAAGGATTTATTTATGCACTTAACCTTCACATGTGATGCTCAAATGACTAAGCCTGGACAAGCATGAGAATTTTACAAGGTTATGTAGGATTCAGACTTGAAACAATAAAATAAGAACCCTTGAGGTTAAGTATGTTTTCATTAGTACTTTAGGCTTTGTGCATTTTAGACCACTTATGTGGTGTAAAATTCATCTGTATATGTTAGCAGTCCGTTAATGCATTTTTTGAAATTTTGTAGATTAGTATTTTATGAATATGCATTTGTTATCTTCCTCTGATGTTCTCTGGAACTGTTTTTAACAGGCACTGGTAACAACATTTGAGTGGTATTTACAGCTTTGTTTGCCTTGCTCTCTACTGGAAGGACTTAATCTCTTTAACATTTAATTCCAGTGCCTCAGATTAATTTTCCACAAATCAAACAAATTCTAGTGCAGACATTCTTACACTGCAGAAACCATCCCATCTCAGATAAAAGCGTGGTATAGTTAGGACAAAGGGCAAGGGACAACTGTCCCTTTGCAAATCTTTTTGCAAATCAGCAAAAGATAGCTGCAACCAATTGCAATCAAGAATAAAATTACATTTCAATACATCAGAAAAATACACATCTGCCTACTCTACTCACCATTCCTTTAATAATTTTTCCTTTAATAAATTTAAATAGCTTCATAAAATTTGTATAGCTTGTAATTTTTAATGTCCATTAATTCTTTTCTGAGTAACTGCAACAGAGTTTTGCTAATCAGTTTATATGATCAGTCCTGAAGTGACTTGTCCTGAAGTTTTATTATTCTCCTTGCTGTTTTCTAGAGATACCCAGGTTTCATATTTCCTTCCTGTAACTCCAGTTGTTCTTCACATTCAAGTCTTGTTTCTTCCCATAGATATTAAAGAACAGTTTGATTCTTCTATCTTTACTCCTGTTCAGTACTATTTATTCCACATTGTTTTGTAATATCAAGATAACTGCAGAAAACAGAGGTGAGAGCCATAGGACTCTTGCCTAACAAACAAGCTTGGGCAGGAGCAAAATACCATAAGCTTTCAGCAGTTTGATATTTCACACCACTGATCAACATGAGACATTTTTAACAGCTCACACTATAGGCCTTAAGAGAGTATGTATTTTTGGTGAGAAAAAAGGCTGCTAATTCCAGGTCTAGTTTGTGTTTTAATTTGGTAGCAAAACTTTTTATATCAACAACAGTTTCATTTCAACAACCGTGTACCATCCCTTCAAAAATACCACACTGGAAAAGCAGACAGCTTGTGCTCCCACTGTTTTGATGCCAGTTCTTCTATTAACAGTTAAGACTGGGCTTAGGTTTGGCATCAGATTATATTTTCTAGAAACAGCTGCCTACTTGAGAAGAGCCAAAACTGTTCCTGTGTCAAAACCACAATGACAAAAATTCAGCATAGCCTGCCAGCCAGCACATCTCTCACAGGAGTATAAAGCGTCCAGCAGAACAGCTAAAGGGAATGATTTTGAAAGCTGCTATTAGGTTTCAACAGTGTTGCTAATTTATCATTTAAATGTCTGTAACTATTTCCCGAAGGCAAATGTTTATCTCTTTTACTGAGTATCTTATGCTTCTAAAGAGGCAAAACACCATGGCAGCAGTTTTCCTCACAAGCAAGACATCCTTTTTTAGCAGAGACTGTTGAAATTTCCTATTTAAAGTGAAAAAAATTAATCTGTGAAATAGATATTTAGCTCCTTTAATTAAAAAAAAACTATTGTCAACGTATTCTGATAGACATTGCTTTTAATTATAACAATATTTTAATTCAAGGCAGTCTCAAAGGTCAATGGAGTTATGTTAAAAAAAAAAAAGTTTATGGTTCCAGCAGAATTGTTGCTGGAAATTTTGATGTAACACATTTCTTATTTCTTAACTGTGCCTAGACAACACATCATTACTGCATTTGCAATCAGCCAAACAACTGAATTCAATGAGAACTTTGAAACTGCAGAGAGAACAAAAGCGACATAATGAAACAAATAACATGGTTTTGAAATACCTGTAGATGGTGTAACAAGTTCTCATGTTAATTTGATGCTATGAAGCTTGAAGAAACTTCACTGGGCCTTTAAAAATCCAGCACCTTATATCATTCTTTTCATTATGAAGAAAGTAATCCTATTATTTCTCTTTCAAATTATGCTGGTTTTTGCTGGGATAGAGTTAATTTTATTCATAGGAGCTTGTATGGGGCTGTATTTTGAATTTGTACTGAAAACAGTATTGACAATTCAGGGATGTTTTGTTATTGCTGGGCAGAGCTCACGCAGAGCCAAGGCCTTTCTGCCCCTCACCACACCAAGGAGGAGGCTGGGGGTGCACAAGGAGCTGGGGGAGGATGAGCTGGGACAACTGACCACAGCTGGCCAAAGGGATACTCCAGACCATGTGGCAGCAAGCTCAGCTAGAGAAGGAGGAAGGGGAGGACAGGGGAGTGATGGCATATGTCTTCTTAAGTAACCATTAGTGAGATGGAGCCCAGCTTTCCTGAAGACGGCTGGACACCTGCCTATACTTGGCAAGTGGTGAATTAATTCCACATTTTCCTTTGCTTGTGTGCAGCTTTTGCTTTACCTGTTAAATTGTCTGGCTCTCAACCAACATGTTTTCTCACTTTACTGTTGTGGAGCACAGTTGTCTGCTGGGACAAATGTTCTTTTTAGCATCCACTGTGAGGCTTGAAGGACTCCAGGTAACAACAGATTTTACTGGAATGTGCTGGATCACATTTGAAGCTGCTGTTGCTGTTGATCTGTTGACAGACTCCCGTGCTTGCCATGGGACTTGTTTGACTTCTGTACGCAATTGTCTGGTCCTTGTTAGTGGCTGGGTTGTTTTCACTGCCTGTTGTACCACTTATCTTCCTCCACTGTGCCTGGGAACATTCTGATAACAGCAGTATTTCTGTGCTGCTGTACTGGACAGACTGGAACTCCATGTGAACTCAAGTCAAAGGGGTCCATGACCCTTCGGATGAGTTCAAGCAGCAGCAGGAATCTGTGACCGTGGGTGAGTCCAGGCCAGAGCAAGAAAACCTCCCAGTATTCCCAGGCTGTCTCCCATTAGAGTACAACCATGACAACAGTTCGGCAGAACCACCACTTCAAAATTATCAGCTTGGCACTTCTTCTGCCTGGTTTCATTTTACATTTGAGCTGCAGACTTGTTTAGAGGGATACAGGGATGTTTCTCCATTTAATGAGTACTCCAAGTCCCACATCTCCAAAGTACTGATGTATTTTCATATGACCATTTGTGAGGAAAATGAAGTAATTTATATGCATAATATAAAACTTCCAAGTCTTACTTAAGGTCTTACTGAAGAAATAATTCTTGATTCTCTGAAGCCTTTCACTGTAACAGCTTGCTCAGATATGAGTGCAGTGAAAGGCAGTACATTTTTTCTCCTCATCCAGTATTCTGTTGTTCACTATCCTTATTTGGAAGTATTTATAAATAGCCATTCTTCCATACTGTGACCTCCAAAACGTCACAATTCATTTTCCTCCCTTCTAAAAAAATGAAATAAAAAAAAAAAATCAAGGAAATAAGGTGTCATCGCACTTGAGCCCTGTTTGCTCTGGCGCATATTGCACTTTTCCCATCTCTGAGGTCCAAATCAGGATTTGTTATAGCAGTCTTGGCAATTTCTGTTGGCAGCAGTTGTCTTGACCTTTTAATCCAGTTAGCTTTTTTCACTACAGTACTCAAATAATGGGCTGTAGGAAGAATTACCTTTGGTCAATGGGTTGTGAGATGCCAACATGAATCTTTGCCATCACAAATTACTACAGTTCAGATGCATAAACAGACTGCAAAAAAAAAAATCAGTAACAACAGCCTGTTTACCTTGGAAGGACAGTGTGGGCACGAGTGATTTGTCCCAGAGGACAGGATTTGCTCCCTGCCAGGGCAGTCACTACAGCCTGTGCTGCCCTCTCCCCGAGGCAGAGGCAGGTGTCCAGCAGTGCCCGAGCGCGGCCGGTCACCGTGGGGCGGGAGGTGATGCTCTCATAATCCACCCGCGACAGCGCCTGCCGCGAGCGCAGCACGTCCAGGATGTGGTTCAGGCGTCCCTCTGTCATGCAGTTCAGGATGCTCTGCCTCTGGCAAGCAAGGATTTGACAGCAGTTTCCTTTGCTGCAAGGACCTTGAGTGAAAAGGAAAACAAAATGAGATAAACCAAGTGATTTATTCATCCAGAAATTGTTAGCAAGTGATAGCATCAACACCAGAAATATAAACTCAGTAGAGGAAGGAAGGAAGGAGGAGGAGTTAGTTTGCATTTTGTGTTTGAAACTAGTCCAAAAGTATTTTCATCTCATGTTTGAAACTCACAAAGACCAGATTACAGCAAATAGGTGTTTCTAAACCTCTGAGTGCTCAGATTGTGTGAGAGGAGAAGATTTTCAGATCTTGCCCTATTCATCTAGCATCTGTATTTGACTTTATGCAAAGCATCTTGGCTGGACACAGATGAGAAAACTTTCTCCTACGAAGGAAGAACAGCTAACAGGTACTTCAGGGTAGCAGGAGAGTTTGAAACATGTAGCATGAAACTGGGAAAATGAATATAGGTCAAAGTCAAACTAATACCAAAAGTGATACTCTTGATAAAATGGTTGAGAGTTTTGGGCTCTGCCTCTCCATGAGGTGATTAGAATATCTAGTGCTGACATTAGGGTTTTTAGTGTACAGTAAATAGCACACACCAAGAGAAAATTAATAACCAAAAGTCATGTTGCTTTGGAGAGCATGCTTCTGTCATTCTGATTTCCGAGTGTTGCCAGGAGAGTTCTGGGAGGAACTTTTCCTGCATGGTCTGGTCTGTTATTTATCCAGAAATGATGTCATCACTCAAGTAAATTGCCATGGAGAAGGACAGCCAGCTAGGTTGAGGATTGTTATAGGTCTGTTTGCAAAAAGTTAGCATAAAAACCTCACAAAGCTTCACCCACAGTCAAAGAGTCTTCACAAATCAAAATCTGACCCTTTCTGCCTCTGTTCTGCATGTGAGGGGATGAAGAACAGGGAATGAAGATGTGAGGGGATGAAGGCTTCCCTGTCACCTGTTTCTGTAGTCAATAGCTACTTTTGCAGATGTAGGCAATGCACAGCTTATGATTGCAAAAGAATATTCCAGACCTAAACAACTAATGCATTTCATATTCAGTTTGTGCTATGTTTTTTGTATTTTATTAGGGTCTTTTCAGAACTGTTCTCAGCCTCACTGTGGCCCTGAAAGAAAAGAAACCAATGTTCTCAGTGGTCAGTGCCTGAACTTCTGAGAACAGAGGAGCAGCTATACACAAATAGATATTTGTATCAAGTTACAATCAGTTATTACTCTGAATACCTGAAAATGTGCACAAAATTTAGAAATATCTGTTTCCTCCAAGTTTTAAACAATTGAATCACTAAGATCTGGCCAAGGTAAGTAGTGCCAGCTCAAAGTGGCAACGGTGCCTTACCTGTCACTGCTTGTCCAAGGTGCATTGGTTGTGGTCTGTGCTGAAGAGCCAGTAGTGGGGAGTTATGTTGACTGCTCTCTTTGCCTGCAGTTGAAACAGATGAAGGATTTGTGCAAAAGGAGCTTGATTTTATTCTCTCAGAGCCTGGGTGATCTAGAAGTTTAAGATGAGCAAAATTAGACCTTTGAATTGAACAACACTACACATATGTCAGCCACTACAGGACACAGGAACTGAAGACTGACTTGAGATTAATTTGGCTCCTGTTAATACATCATTATTCCTAGGAAAACTTTGGCATATATTACTACACACATCTGGCTTTTCCAAGCTGTCTGTAGGAATTTGTTATTCAAGTTATGGAACATTTTATTCTGTCCATAAGTCTGATGGCTATTGATCAGAACTGAAGTGCTTGGAAATGCAGATGTTGCTACAGGTGAATTGATTTCTGATGTCTCAGTTTTTGTACCTGAGGGCACGAGAAATACAGGCTGTCTCTTTGTGACACAAATTTAAACACTTAGGACAAATCTACATTGGAAAGGTAAAGAAAGTTATCTATATAGGAACAGAGATTATCAGGAATTAATCATATGTTCCTGGCAACATTGCCTTTTTAAAATATATCTCCATTACTTAGCAGATTACAAAAAAAAAAAAAAAAAAAAAAAAAAAAAAAAAAAAAAAAAAAAAAAAAAAAAAAGCAGTTATTCCTTGTGGCATAAAGCATTGTGATTCCCAGAAGGGACTTGTTCTCTCAAAAGCAACAGGCAATATTTGATGTGTGAGACAAAAGCAGCTCTACATTTACAGTTCTGTAAAAAAAAAATTTTTTTTTTGATCTATACATTTAAGTGGAAAGCTTTGTGGTGTCTTTGGTTTCCTGCAGTGTACTTATGCTTCAGATGATGCCAGTAGAGAACACAGCTTTACTCTGAGAAGGGACAATTTTACATTCAAAAGTACACTTCTGTATGGAACAACTATTAATATTTGTCCTTTTCTTGTAACAGCTGGAGCTGAATATAATTCAAGACAGTGACCTTTGGTTGTTGCATTCTGTGGGGTAGTACTTGGCACACCCATCTCAATATTATCTCTTTCTGCTGTATTTGCACTGCTATCAAGTAGAACAGTGGACAAACTTGGCACTAGAAGAGGAATTTTCTTTCTGATTAAACGGTTGTCTTTTTGGGGACAGATGATCTGAAAGAGATCAAAACAGAGAAGAGTTATCTTCTTGGAAACGTTTGTTCCAAAACCTTTTTGAAACAGGAGAGGTTCAAAACAAGCCCTAAGAGGAGGAGGTTGGTTTTGCAAGAGCAACGTCGGAGTGAGCTGCTTGGAGCAAGATAAAGCAGTGGGGTTTGCTGGATGGAGTTATCCTGGCTAGGAACATTTTGCACAAGTGTTTGCATTACAGAGTGTAAGGGCTGTCAGGAGGAATGAGCAGCTGATGGAGTACTCTGGAGACTCCAGTGCCACGAACTCACCTCTGAATTGCAGGTGCCTCTCTGCAGCGTGTAGGTCTCCGAGCCTTTGCATGCATTAAGCGCTCTCTCCTGGAAGAAGAAAGCCACAGGAATTGCAGTAAGTGTAGCTGTGGTTTGTGCCACTCCCAGCTGTCAGGAGCAACAATTTATAGTAATATAACATCTACTGGCAACATATATTATACTGTAAAGTACACTCAGTGAAGAGCACTGAGTGAAGGGGCACAGAATCTGACAAAATTCTACCCTGTTACTCTTTCCAGTGTTTTACATTTGTTTTAAAACCGAGTGTTGAATCATGCGGGGGAAGGTGAAAATAAGCTTGTATTGAGAGAGCCTGGGCTAGCTAGAACACGTTTGCCTTTAAGTAGCCAAACACCATGGCCATCCTGTGTTCAGTGTGCCAAACTGTCTGCAGTAAGGATGTGTCAATATTTCTTCCAATTTGTACATCCACAGCGGATTTGTCAAACTTTTTTTTTTAGATTTTATACTTCAACAGTTGTGAATCAATTTCCCAGAAACTTCAGTTTAAATTTCAGAGTAATTTTTGACTTATCAGTGTTTGAACAATAAAAAATGCTCGCTAATAAAATAAACCTTCACAATCTAACAAATTAAAAAATAAAACCTTGCTCAATGGAGATTGAAGCATTAAATTATGGAATATTTAGCAGCACAATCTTAAATAAACTTCAACAGTAGTAAAAATTACTTTGACCAAATGCCACCTATTGAAACATTGATCAAGGCTGTTCTATGAGCACAGAATGTGATTGCAACATATAGAAATAGTCCCACATGCATCACCATACACAACACACTAATGAAACCAACAACACAGCATGGGTTGTGTAACTCCAGCTAGAATCAGAGTCTTTGTCCAAGGGCCAAAACCTGTGTCATTGTTTTCCCTCAGTGCCTACGTTACCAGCAAGGATGCAGCTCTGTTGTGGTGTCACATTTGTGCCAGAGCTCCCATGGCAGTGTAAGCAGTGTAAGCTCCATACCTGCTCCATTCCCTCCTGTGGTATTAGAGAGCCCTGGGACCCTGGGATGAGCAGTGTCTTGGCCTGAAAGCCTGGTAATTTAGAAACAGTGAAGGGTACAGAGCAGTGCTGCTAATGGTATTGCTACCACAGGTACTAACACTGCTCAGGTTTTGAACTAAATGGTTTCTACCCAGTAATACAAAAAAACTACTTGGTTCTAGTTCTAATCTGCAGTACTTGAGCTGATTTTTTTTCTCACTCACATGGGTTTGCCAGTCTGACTCCAGATGGGGACTAGAAAGAAGTTGTATTTTTAAAATAGCAGGTACCAATTGACTAATGTTCTAGAGAACCTCACAATATATATTCTGCAATTTCTGAATGAACCTGAAATGCCAAAGGGCACTCTCCAGCTCTCTGGCATGTCCAGTAAAATAATCAAGACAAAACCTTCACTCTTGGATCAGAAAGATTGCAATTGAATGAATCAAATAATGTTGTAGGAGAACAAGACATTTTGCACTGACCTTTGCATCCATCAAATTGTAGATTGCTGCAGAAATTACTTCCTTATTTATACTACTCAAAACTCCATTTAGAAGATGTACACATTCTGCAGGGTAATAAAGCGTTTTTAGTACCACATTGAGTATGAAAGCATGTATACATTTAGGCATCATCATTGCCACTAACTTTACTATTATATTAAGAAAAAAGAAGAAATAGAGGAAATAAGTTTACTACAACTTCCACCTCATACTTTACTTTATAGTAAACCAAATTTTGGAGACAAATAAGTCAATTTCTGGTAGGAAGCTTCATTTGGAGGAAATATCAAAGGTAGTCCAGTGAAATAAAGACTATTTCCACTTCAGTTGTTTAGAGTGCTAAAGCAATGTTCCTATAAAGACTGTCTCCATTACAGATTTTGCACGGAAAGAAATCCGGAATGTTACCTGCAGTATGTGGCCTATAATCTGGTTCTTGATGCCAGCACAGAGCAATGAGGTTCAACAGTCTATTCCTCTCAGGCAAATTGCTTGGTATGAACTTTTCTGAAATGCCTGGCCGCAAACT